TCTCCTGGTGCGTTCTTGTATTGTGGGGCTCCAGAGCTGTTTTATTGTACTCTTATATATTTTTTCCCCACACCTCTCTATGCTGTCTGTAATGAGGCAAAGACTGCAGACATTACACACACTGACAGTGCTTTTAAATGCCACAGCGGTCACAGTTTGGTGGAGATGTGTTCACCGTACTTTTAGCCTCCAACTCCAGGGTTCAGTAGTGAAGTACAGGCCAACCTGGACACGCCCACTTGTTAACACTAACACTTGGTTTAAGACTGGAGGCAAGGTAGGGCTCATAATGTGTTGTTTCTTCATCAAAAACATACCTGGAGTCTGTTCCACCTTGTGATTTAAGTTGATATTGCTGCTACACTGTGTTTTTAAACCCCATACACCTTCACTAGAATCATTTGGATCATTTCAGCTCAGGAATTGCCAGTCTGTCCTGGAACAGAGCATTTTGCGCTGTGTAGATGTAGACAGACTAATGCTAAAGGGTTACTCAAACATGTTTGACTGAAACAAAACACAACTCCAGGTCTGTTTTTGAGGGGGTAATGGCATCATAACATGGCTTAAACCTCACAGGAGTCATTTTGTGTAATACAGGGCCTTTAGAAACAAATTATAAATCCAATAATATTATGCAAAGACCACAACTTATGAAATTAATATTTGGATATCAGGTTCCCTTAAAAATAATCCTAAATATATATTAACTCTTTGAGTTAATTTCTTGAACCAATACTTTGTGCTGGCAGTAACACATTTGGTAGTGTTTGTCCACATATCTAAAGTTGGAGGTTCGAATCCCACATAAAATATCATTGGTTGAGGAGTCAGATCCACTGACCTACAGGTTGGCGGTGCTCCCACAGATGAATGCTGTTGTTGTGTCCTTGGGCAAGACATATATACAGTCAAGCCCAAAATTATTCATATCCCTGACAAATTTTGACTTAAAGTTACTTTTATTCAACCAGCAAGTTTTTTCTTGATTGGAAATGACACAGGCGTCTCCCAGAAGATAATAAGACAATGTACAAGAGACATCATTGTGGAAAAAAATATTTCTCAGCTTTTATTTACATTTGAACAAAAAGGGTCATGTCCAGACTTATTCATACCCTTTGTAAACTCTCAGAGTCTATGGAAAAATCTAAAGTTCTATACCATTCCAACCAGCACAAACTGTTCTAAAACGTCCTAATGACCCTGATTCATTGGAAAGACCTGTTTTAAACAACTGAACAGGTGAAAAACAGCAGGTCTTTGCACTTGGTTTGTGAACAGTCACGGCTAAGACAAAGAAGCTCTCTGAGCATCTGCAACTGCGTATTGTGGCTGCTCACAAGTCAGGAAAGGGCTATAAGGCCATATCTAAATGTTTTCAAGTTCCAGTGGCTATAGTGAAAAGAATTATTAAAAAATACGAGACGTTCCACACTGTGGAAAATCTCAGAGGATGTGATCGGAAGCCGAAAGTGACACTTGTGCTGGGCAGGAGGATAGTGAGAGAGGTGAAAAAGAATCCACAGATCACCCCCAAGGCCATCCAGGTGAATCTGGCTCTGCTGGTGGCAACATCTCAAATATGTGTGCGTGTGTGTATATATATATATATATATATATATATATATATATATATATATATATATATATATAGAGCCCGACCGATATGGATTTTGCTGTGGCCGATATGAAACCAATATAATGGAAGTTGGAGCTGCCGATAGCCAATATAATCACCGATATATTTAGTGATGTAAAAATTCACTGTGAATTGTTTAAAAAACAGGTTTGGCTCTGGTGGATTTTAAATTGGGTTTATTTAGGCAACATTTATTGTTATTCTGCCTCTTTACATCATATTTACAGACAGTAGGTTGACTTAATGGCATTTTTGCATCACATTCTATCTAGACACTAGTGATGGGTATTCCAGTTCTTTTTAGAGAACCGGCTCTTCTGGCTCGGCTCACTAAAAGCTGCTGGTTCTTTTGGCTCCCAAGTGGCTCTTCAGATTGTTTTGTTGCAAGCAGGACTAAAGCACGTCTAAAGCAGGACTGAATCAGGACTGAACCAGGTCTAAACCAGGACTGAAAAAGGACTAAACCGGGACTTATTTATTTTATGCTAAACTACAGTCAAATATGCTCGTTTTTTTATTTTTATTTTTTTGAATCCTACGTACACGCAAATTTCTCAAAGTTTCGTTTTTAGCCGCTGCCGCTGTCAAACCACGAATCTGCACGCGGCGTGAAGAGAAAAAAAGTGAGAGAAAGAGAAAACACGGCTCCCGTCGTTCCCTTCAAAGAGCCGGCTCTAAGAGTCATTTCGTTCGCGACGGACCCATAACTAGTAAAGAAAGTAGCGCTATTAGCCTTTAGCCGTAAATACGTGCGCGCCGCGGTAATTAATTATATGCGCAAATGTCATAATTCACACCTCTGTTCACAGCTCATTTACATATCGGTGCAGGTCCAGTAGCAAATATACGGCCAATATAGTCACTTTAGAACAGACCAATAGAAAACAGTGTTTATGTGCGTGAGCTACAGCAGCTAACCCATAACAAATGACAAAAACTAGCTTCAGAGTCGACATATTTCCAACACTCACCGCTCACACAGGCTCCTCCTCACATCACAAATCTGCACTAATAAATGTCCTTTTAATCCAGACTCAAACCGATTGTCCGTAAAAAGAATATAATCTCAGTGTTTGGATCTGTGTCTGCAGGTGTAAACAAACACACGTGAGTGACGCGACCCTGTGGTGTGTTCAGGGACAGTACAAACACACACAGACAAATGACTCCGTAGATAATATGTGGCTCCACATCAGTATTTAGGACATTTATCTGTCTGTAAATTGGATTAAATGAACAGAATGTAGAGAGTCTAAGCTTTATAACTAGGTATAACATGCCCACGTGAAATATCGGCCCCTATCAGCAAGTATATCGGCCGATAGCCGATATGCCTAAAGTTGCCCATATCAGCCGATATATCGGTCGGGCTCTAATATGTATGTGTATGTAATATATATATATATGTGTGTGTGTGTGTGTGTATATATATATGTGTGTGTATATATATATATATATGTGTATATATATATATAATATATGTGTGTGTGTATATATATATATGTGTGTGTGTATATATATGTATATATTTTACACATACATATATAGATAGATAGATATGTATGTATGTGACTTTTCCTTATTCATTACATGTCAGGGAGAATAAATGCCTTTATATTGCCCTGCTAGTACCATACAGTCCTGATTCTTTATGGCTTTGTTTTGTTTATTATCAAGGGTTTATTATATGGGAAATGCTTGTGGAGAATACCATCATGAATGAATAGTGTCTAGGTTAGTGTTGTCACATCACTACAGTTTCAAACTTGATTTTGATACTAAGGAATAAACTCGATCCTCAATACTGATTCTAATATGACAATAATAAAAACACACATTTTCAACATTAAATGGTAGTAATTTCTTTTCTGTTCTGTGTGACTTTGTGACTTTGTGACTGTGAATGTGACTTTTTAGTACCAATACCTATTCAGATGAGTACCTAGTTTCCATACTAGGTTAAATATTGATTAGAATCTGATTTTTGATACTTTTGACAAACCTAGTCTAGGTACCGTCTGTGTTTTTGTGTTGTCAAAAGCAGGGAGGCTGAAATGAAACAGGCCTGTATGGGAGTTAATTTCTGTTATCATATTTGTGTTTGCAGCTCCATTTGTCACTGCTGTAGCTTCTTACTGCACATGTGTTTATTGAGAAAACAGTGAACCAGCTGTTCATCTTTGACACAGGCAAAGTTATGTAATTTACTTTCCACCAATGAGTGGTAGAGTAGAATGAGGTTCAGTTTCAAACCTTTTGTGCATGTTTACACATATGGGTTGTTCCACCACAGTAATAGACTCAGCATCAGGCTTATGTGGATAACTTCTTATGTCATGTCTCCACAGAGAATGAGCCACACATGGGTGACCCTGATTTATGGAGCCAAAATAGCAAGAAAATAACTTGCTAATAAATAGAAATAAATGTACCTGTACACATTTCCTTATGCCGGGTTGTTGAATTATTCATTCTTGTAGAACTACCCGTTAGTTGTATGCAGTTCAAAAGTCAAAAGTTTTGGACACACTTACCCATTCATTTTTTTATTTTTAAGTGTACTGTGTTCTGTGTTTTAGGTATGTACAGAAGCTATCAAATATATGATGCAGTTATATGGAATTATCATCAGGGCAAACTGACCACTCAATTTGTAGTACTACAAACTTTTATATTCAAATTCCTCAAAGTATGAACCCTTTGCTTTGTTGACAGTGCTGCAAATTTTTGGACTTCTGTCAGTGAGTTTTATGACGAAGTCTCCTGAAATGGTTTTCACTTCACAGGTGTGTCACGTCACAGACAAGAAAAGAGCTCAAAGCAATGATCAAAACATAGGGTAAAGGCTATTTTTGAAAATCTAAAATCAAAAACAAATTGAGTTATTTTTTGAGGTGTGTGTGTTTATTTCTTGTTTGCTGCATTCCAAACGGGTCATTGATAGTTTTGATGCCTTCAATGAGTTTAAATAAACAGAAAATACTCTGTTCTACCTTGTGATGTCATGTGGTAATGCAGGAAGTACTCCACTGTGTTTTTAAATTCCATGCCCTTTCTCTAGAATGTTTTGGATAATTTTAGCTTTGGAATTCCCAGTCTCTACTGAACTAAAGGTAATAAGTGGCTGAAAACTGAAAACGTTTCACTACTTGGCATCACAAGATGAGGATTCAAAACACAGTTCCAGGTATAACTTTGATGGGGTAAAAACATTCTAACATGGCTTAAAGAGCTAGTCGTTGTCAAAAGTATTTTGTGTAATATAGGACCTGTAAGGTTTGATAGAACACAAATAATCATGTTTAAATAAATAAAGAGACTGAACTGACTGATGTGGTGGCTGCATTTTGTGTTTCAGGAGGTGGAGATCCTGGACATCAGCATCATCCGAGACACCCGGACGGGCAGATACGCCAAGCAGCCAAAGGTCAGTGAGCGTGGGGCATGGTTCTCCTGCTGTCCTCTCCCGCTGCCTGCGCCGAACACTCGTGTCACTCAAACTTGTGTGTGCACAAGGATTTCTCATAGTGTGGGGACTCAAACCTGTACACACACTCAGATGATGGGGACTTGCCTTCCATAAGGAACAAAACTCATGTCCCCATGATGTAAATCCTTTATTACTACATCATCATGGTTTTAAGGTGAGACACAGCTGGTGAATAGGAAAAAAAAAATCTTGAATATCACTAAATATTTGAACTTCTTTTTGTAATTTACTTGCATAAAAAAACATGATTTGTAAGTTCTTTATAATGTAATGTTTATATATAAATATAATATAAATATAATAAATATGAAAAAATAGCACACATGTGGGACAAATGTGAAGATTGGAAAGAGTCATGTTTTTTTTTACTTAATTAAGTTTTTTAGTAAACCGGATCTCACAAAAAAAAATCACATTAATCTTTTGTCCCTGTAGGGAGGAAAATGCATTTCATGACATAAATCTACAGATACAAGTTGACTAAATTAAATAATAAAACATCTTAAGGTGAAGGTTGAACAGTGTTGTTTCCAGGTTAAAGCATATACTGTATGTCAAGAATGCATTAGAATTTCAATCAGGAAGTGCATGTTAGCATGCTACTTGGTGTTCGCTTTACCGTCATTGTAGTAAATAAATAGGATACTCAGAATGTATAAGGTAAGTGAGGAATAACTTTGGACCACTGCAAACCATTTAAAATGAACCAATTCTTCTTGTCAGCTTTTTAAGACAGTAAAAATCTGGTACAGTGCCTTTAACAAGCTGATCACCCAACATGTGTGTGAGGGTGCATGTGTGAGAGAGGGAGAGGGGGAGAGGGAGGGTGCATGTGTGGGCTCGGGCGGATGTGGCGGGTGAGCTGGCGGTTGGCAGGATGCGGTTGTGTAAGAGGTCTGGGTAAAGAGCCATGATGAGGGCTGATATCAGACATGCACATGCGACGCACTTGCAAGCAGTCACACACACGCACGCGCGCACACACATACACGTAAACATACACATGCATGGACATAAGCACACACATAAACACAAACACACAAACATGCGCATAGGATCCGAGATACTCATTGTGCCCTTTTTTTTTTTTTTTCCCCCAAATATCAGTTTTACACAGCAAAATACATAGGTGGATACTCTGGAGATAGACTAGTAATGCTGGATTACTAAAACATGTGTGAATGAAACAAAACACCACTACAGGTATGCTTTTGATGAGGTAACAGCATTATAAGATCCTGAGTCAATTTTGTGTAATATAGGGCTTTTTAAAAGAATTTCTAATATCTTTAAAATTCATCAAGTTGAAATTTAGTGTTCAAGCATCTAGTGTTTGTGTTGCAGGATCCAAAACTCCGTGAGTTGCTGGGCTTCGGGAAAGGGGAAAATGTTGAAGGGAAGCTCGTCACCGTCGTCTATGGAACTGATCTGGTCAACATCTCCTTCCTCAACTTCCAGGCGGTGCAGGAAGACACAGCCAAGGTAGACCTGGAGAGGCTTGTAATGTAAAGTAATATAAAGGGTTTTTCAAGGTCATGATATAAACATCTAACCAACAAAACACTTGCAACTGAAACTTTAATTGAATGAATGAATGAATGAATGAATAAATAAATAAATAAATAAATAAATGTATATACAATGACATAATGTGGAACATTCCATTCAAAGCAATAACATCTCCATGGAGACAAGCAGATGTTTGTCAGTAGTTGATACTAATTGAAAAACTGTTCACTTTGTGTGGCTAAATGGCAGTTGGAAGGTTTGGTAAAGTGTTACATTACAGTTACATTTACTTGTACTTTTAAAGATGACGTACTTTTGAGAGTACTTTCCTAACAGCATTTGTTTACTTCTCCTATTTTTTATTGAGGCAACAGTACTTTTTAATCTCAAAGGGATAGTTCGTTTTTTTTTTTTTTACATAAATCTGTATGGCATCCCCATCAGCAGTGTCATGTATCCACACTGACTTACCCCCGACAGCGTCCGGTGAGCCGGAATACTGCCCAGATTTGATGCTGATGAAAGTAGTCCGGCAAGTTGACTGGGCACATTAAAGTAAAGCGCTTTACTTCTCAAAACAATATGTGTTCAAAAGAGTGATATATTTGCATCACAAAACCTTCATCCTAAAAAAAGTCAGACCTCAATAATTGCTTGGCGCTATTTTCTCTCTGTTTGTATTACTGCGCGCTGCCGCCAGGTGACAGCCGCGCACTGATCCATCACGTTCTTCAGTTGTTTGGCAGTGTTTACATGCGCAGACTGCCGTGACACGAGAGAGCTAATGTGGAGCTACAGCGATAAGTATATAAGCTTGTATAAGCTATATAAGAATATGTCTAAAAAAGGGTGCAAACTTGTGATTATCCAGGCTGTAACAACCAAAATCTGGGTGAATCTCCACACACATTTCACCGTTTTCCTGTCACGGACTTTGCTCTGAGGAACCTTTGGCTTCTTGCCTTAAGCTTCAAAGTGGAAACAAAAGATAAAAAAGCTCCGTGTGTGCAGTGCGCAATTCAGCGACGAAGATCCTTCATGCCTAGGATATAGGAAGAAATCTGTTTTGAAGAGCACTGCTGTACCTGCACCCCAGGTAAGAACAAAGAGGTGCCGCTATGTTTGCAAGCAGACAGGCTCAAGAATCAGCAGCAAATTACTTAGTGTCATATCAACAGTGAAGCTTCTACAAAACGTAACGTTATAAGTCGACTGTTATTATTATTGTAAATGTCGCTTACACTATTGTCAGCAACTACGTGGACGTGTGGGTGATTCCATGTTTCTATTAGTAGTCCTGCTTCCAGTCACATTGTAAGCTCTATGTTCGCTGTATACGAGTTTCTAAATGACGTGATGGGTGATTGTCGCTCACTCGGTCTCCAGCTTCAACTTGTACCACTTCTCTGTCCCTCCTCTCTGTTTCTGCCCGTTCTAACTCCATCTGGCGAATTTTAGCATCAGTATATTCGGGTTCATAAAGATATCCCCTTGGCTTTGTGCTAAAGGCAAGGTCTTCGTCACCGGTGTCGTAGTCAGACATGTTGTCGCTAACATTTCGAGCAATAAACAAAGTGAACCAGGCGTGGCTGTCACCTGGCGGCAGCGCGCAGTGATACGAACAGAGAGAAAATAGTGCCAAGCGAAGTTTGAAGTTTGACTTTTTTGAGGACGAAAGTTTTGTGATGCAAATATATCACTCTTTTGAACACAGATTGTTTTGAGAAGTAAAGCGCTTTACTTTAATGTCCCCAGCCAACTTGCCGGACTACTTTCATCAGCATCAAATCTGGGCAGTATTCCGGCTCATCGGACGCTGTCGGGGGTAAGTCAGTGGGGATGCACTAGAATGCTAATGGGGATGCCATACAGATTCATGTCAAAAAACCCGAACTATCCCTTTAAGTTTGGTTCCTCTTGCCAGTGTGAATAAATCTACAAATGATGAAAGCTCCTTCAGATATGATTTAGTTTCTCAAATTTTTGTCTATTCTTTGAAAATACAAGATTTTGTGTATTATTCAATGTTTTATCCTTCAAATTGCATTAACCTTTACTCTTGAAGTTACTCTTAAATGAGTAATTTCTTGCACCATTACCTTGAACTTCTTCTTGAGTAATATTATTTGAGAACATTTTTTTTGATTATCTACCCACCTGAATCCGTGTATCATTCATTTTTCAATATAAAACCAAAAATAAGAAAATGAAAAAAAATAACAGTTTTCTTCATTATTTGTCTCCAAAACCAAAATGAAAAAACGGATAATGATTTGTTTTTTCAGTTTTCAATTTTGTGTTTAAATGAAGAATGGAAAAAATGTATAACGACCGTTTCCCGTTTACGTGACTCCCGTGACTGCGATGTCAGACTTTTGCGCCACATATGGACTGAACCAGGACTGATCCAGGTCCGGGACCAGAGCGGAACCAGAGCAGGACCAGAGCAGACTCCAAGCTTTGACTCCGAGTCTCCACAGGGTCCAAGCCTCAGCTTCGAGCTCCGGCCCTGCCGTGGGCTCTGAGCCTCTGGTCTGGTCCTGGTCTAGTCCCAGCCTGATCTCGGTCTCAGTCCCGGTCTCAGTCCTGGTCTGGTTCCGGTCTCTGTCCCAGTCTGGTTCCGGTCTGGTCCAGGTCTCAGTCCTGGTCTCAGTCCCAGTCTCGTCCCGGTATGGTTCCGGTCTCGGTCCTGGTTGGTTCCAGTCTCAGCCCTGGTCCCGGTCCCGGTCTCGGTCCCGGTCTCGGTCCCAGTCTCGGTCCCAGTCTCGGTCCCGGTCTCGGTCCCGGTCTCGGTCCCGGTACCGGTCTCGGTCCCGGTCTCGATCCCGGTCCCGGTCTGGTCCCGGCCCTGGATCAGTCCTGGTTCAGTCTGTATGCAGTGCAGAAGTCAGACATCACAGTCAGGGGAGTCACGTAAACAGGATACGTTATCTGTTTTCTCCATTTGTCATTTAAAATACAAAATCGAAAACTGAAAAAACTAATCATTATCCGTTTTTAAATTTTGGTTTTGGAGACAAATAATGAAGAAAACTGTTGTTTTTTTCGTTTTCTTATTTTTGGTTTTATATTGAAAAACGAATGATACATGGATTCACCTGTTTATATTGCTCCGCTTTGCTAGAGCCAGTCTAACAGATGTACTTTGTCACACTGTCTATCTTTCGTTTCCAGGTTTGGACAGATGAACTCTTCACATTGGCTACAAACATCCTGTCCCAGAATGCAGCACGCAACACATTTCTGCTTAAAGCGTGAGTGTAAAGTGGACAGTCTACAGCTGTGTCCTCTCTGCTCCTGTCTAATTCTGTCTGTCTGCGTCCTCTCTGCTCCTGTCTAACCCATCTGTCTGTGTCCTTCTGCAGGTACACACGACTAAAGCTTCAAGTCAACCAGGATGGCAAGATTGCTGTCAAGAAGTGAGAGATCATTTATTATGAATGACTATATTTTTTATTCATATTTGCATTATCATATATGAGGTTAAAGCTGCTCAGAGCATGTTGTTCCATTTTACCACAAAGTTATTCAGTTTACTACTACTTCCTCATTCAGGCTGTAACAAGTACAGTGTGGCTACACAAAAATGACAATCTTATTATGCAATAAAAAAAAAAAAGTCAGCAACACTGTTTTACTTATATTTTACATATAACATGACAAAAAACATAATGATGAAATGTGATTTAAAGTGATAGTATGTAAGTTTAAAACCATACACCGGAACATTCTCCATATGTATGTAATATGGTGATGAAGGCTTTTAGGTATAGAATATGTCCCTCCCTGAACCGCCAACTTAACGTGGTGGAGGGGTTTGAGTACCTGAATGATCCCGGTAGCTATGTTGTCGGTGTCTTCATGCCCCTGGTAGGGTCACCCAAGGCAAACAGGTCCTGGGGGACGGGTCAGACCAAGAGTGGTTCAGAAGCCCCTTATAATGAGATCAATATAGAGGCCAGTGACGTAGCCTGGCTTGGCGCTACTGGGGCCCCACAATGGAGCCAGTCCTGGGGTGGGTGCTCGACATTGAGCACCTGGTGGCCAGGCCTTCCCCCATGGGGCCTGGGCGAGCACAGCCCAAAGGAGCGATGTGGGGCCGTCCTCCTGTGGACCCACCATCTGTGGGAGGGTCCATATGGCTGGTTCATGGAGATCTGGGCAGCAGTCGAAGACGGGGGCCTCGGCAATTGGACCTCAATTGGATGTCACCTCGCTAGTGCTGGAGGTTGAGTGCTACCGACAATATATATTGTCGGCCTCACCTTCACGTACAGATTGGGAGCTGGAACCCAACTCCTTGAGGGGGGCTGAACTCTCCATTTCCCTGGCATTGGCTGCGGGGAGCGGCAACAAGCTGGTGTGGGCCTGCTCATTGCCCCACAGCTTTAACTGTACCAACAACTCCGTTGTTCTCCTGGGATATTCAATGCCCATGTGGTCATCGACAGTGACACCTGGCGAGGGGTGTTTGGGAGGAACAGCCTCCCTTATCTGAACCCGAGCAGTGTTCTATTATTGGACTTTTGTGCCAGTCACAGTTTGTTCATAACGAACACCATGTTCGAGCACAAGGGTATGCATCAGTGCACATGGCACCAGGACACCCTAGGCCAGAGGTCGATGATTGACTTTGTCATCATGTCATCTGACTTGCTGCGTGTCTTGGACACTTGGGTGAAGAGAGGGGCTGAGCTTTCAACTGATGATCACCTGGTTGAGATTTGGGTCTGCTGGTGGAGGAGGAAGCCGGAAAGATTTTGAAAGACTTGGCAGGCCCAAGCGTGTAGTGAGGGTCTGTTGGGAACGTCTGGCAGAGCCCTCTGTCAGAGGGACCTTCAATTCACACCTCCAGGAGAGCTTCTCCCAGATTCTGGGGGAGGCCGGGGACATGGAGTTTAAGTGGGCTATGTTCTCGACCTCTACTGTCGATGCGGTCACTTGAAGCTGTGGGTGTAAGGTCTGTGGTGCCATGACAGCAAACCCGAGCCTGGTGGTGGACACTGTAAGTAAGGGCTGCCGTCAGGCTGAAGAAGGAATCCTATTGGGCCTTTTTGGCTCATGGGACTCCAGAGGCAGCTGACGAGCACTGGCGGGCCAAGCGTGTGGTCGCAGAAGCAAAAACTCTGAGCTGGGAGGAGTTCGGGGAGGCCATGGAGGAGGACTATCGGACAAATACTGGAAAACCATCCGGCGCCTCAGGAGGGGGAAGCGATGCTTCACCAACACTGCTTACAGTGCGGGGGGAGAGCTGTTGACCTTGACTGATAATGCTGTCGGGCGGTGGAAGGAATATTTTGAGGATCTCCCCAATCCCACAGTCATGTCTTCCGATTAGAAAGCAGAGGCTGAGGACTCTGAGGTGGACTCGTCCATCACCCTGGCTGAAGTCATTGAGGTGGTTGGTAAGCTTCTTGGTGGAAAGGCTCCAGGGGTGGATGAGATCCATCCTGAGTATCTGGATGTTGTGGGGCTATATTGGCTGACACTTCTCTGCAACATCGCGTGGTGGTCGGGGACAGTGCCTCTGGACTGGCAAACCGGGGTGGTGGTCCCTCTGTATAAGAAGGGGGACTACAGGGGAATCACACTCCTCAGCCTCCCTGGTAAGGTCTATTCGAGTACTCTCCAGGATAGGAGAGTCTGGCTAATAGTCGAACCTTGTATTCAGGAGTGTGATTTTCGGCCTGTCACGGAATACTGGACCAGTTCTATACTCTCTGTCGGGGGCTCAAGGGTTTATGGGAGTTTGCCCAACCAGTCCACATGTGCTTTGTGGATCTGGAGAAGGCATTCGCTTGTGCCCCTCATCATGTCCTGTGGGGGATGCTCTTGGAGTATGGAGTTCGGAGCCCTTTGCTAAGGGCTGTTCAGTCCCTGTATGACCGGCGCAGGAGCTGTGTTCGCATTGCTGGCAGTAAGTCAGACCTGTTCCCGGTGCATTTGTCACCGGTTCTGTTCATTGTGTTTATGGACAGAATTTCTAGGTGCAGTCAGGGGGCAGAGGGGGTCCGGTTTGGGGACCACAGAATCTCATCTGTGCTGTTCACAGATAATGTTGTCCTGTTGGCTCCATCAAGTCAGGACCTGGGGCGGTTTGCAGCTGAATGTGAAGCGGCTGGGATGAGGATCAGCTCTTCCAAGCCCGAGGCCATGGTTCTCGACTGGAAAAAGGTGGCTTGTCCTCTCAGGGGTCGGTGGAGAGTCCCTGCCTCAAGAGGAGGAGTTCAAGTATCTCGGGACCTTGTTCACGAGTGAGGGGAGGACGAAACATGAGATTGACAGGTGGATCGGTGGAGCGTCGGCAGTGATGCGGTCGTTGTGGTGAAGTGGAAGCTGAGTCGAAAGGCGAAGCTCTTGATTTACCGGTCAATCTTCGTTCCTACTCTCACCTATGGTCATGAGCTCTGGGTAATGACCAAAAGGACAAGATCGCGGATACAAGCACTCGAAATTTATTTCCTCTGCAGGGTGGCCTTAGAGATAGGGTGAGGAGCTCATTCACACGGGAGGAGCTCGGAGTAGAGCCGCTGCTCCTCCACGTCGAGAGGAGCCAGCTGAGGTGGTTCAGGCGTCTGTCCCGGATGCAGGACATGTCCTGGAGATGCTGGAGGGACTATGTCTCTCGGCTGGCCTGGGAACGTCTTGGGGTTCCCCCAGAGCAGCTGGAGGACATGTCTGGGGTAAAGGAAGTCTGGGAGTCCCTACTTAGGCTGCTGCCCCCGTGACCCGGCCCTGGATAAGAGGAAGAAAATGGATGGATGAATGGACATACGTATTAATAAATTGTATATGTATATATATTTTCTTTTTTTAGTCTTGCCAAAAATATTTGGCGTTGCATTATTAACACCACAAAAATAATAATCCCCACATACATAGTGATTTCACACAATGATAATACATTTGTGAGTTTATTACATTTGTGGGTTCAAACGGGTTGTGCCTCAGACTTAATAAATTCCCACAGATGTAACTGAATGTTTATTGGTGAATTGTGACCTAATTTAGCTTATATTTAGGGGTGTCAAATTATCGCGTTAATTGCGATTAATTAATTACAGTCATATTTAGCGCGTTATGTTTTTTAATCGCGTTAATCTCATTTTTAATCTCTAACTTTACTGTTTCTGTATGTGAGTTTCTTTATTATAAAACCTGTTTTTATGTGTTGTTGGGACAACAACACACACACACACACACACAAAACACATTTATAAAATTTTTTTATTTCGGTAATTCCACTCATTGCCGGAAAGCCACACAAAACGCGCGCAGTAACAGCGATGTAAACGTCATGTTAACGTTGGCGGCATCAGTCGCTCAATGGACGAGGTCGAAGAGCCAGTAGAACAGAGTCAGCAGCGCACAGGTAAAAACACATTCATGTCTTAGAAATTATTCTCCCGACGTGAAATATAAAAGAAAATAACAAATATAATATCGTCTGAAAACAACCTGCATAGGCTCATGGTGTCTGCACTACTGTCCTATAGTGACCTGCCACATGAGGGGACACGCACACACACGCACACAAACACACACACACACACAAACACACACAAACAAACACACACCTTCATCATCGTCATTAACCTGAGAACGCGCGGACCACGTTTCCTTCCGTAGACACTGCGCGGACACCGACGTGCTCCCGTGAGCCGCGTGTGGATCGTGTTTTCTCGCGTACGCGGCGTAAACCACGCTTCCTCCTGTGCGCCTCTAAACCAGAACTAACACCAAGACTAAAAAAAGGACTAAACCAGGTCTAAACCAGGACTAAACCAGAACTAAAACCAGAAGTAAAACCAGGTCTAAACCAGGTCTAAACCAGGTCTAAACCAGGTCTAAACCAGAACTAAAACCAGAACTAAAACCAGAACTAAAACCAGGTCTAAACCAGGTCTAAACCAGGTCTAAACCAGGTCTAAACCAGGTCTAAACCAGGACTAAACCAGGACTAAACCAGGACTAAACCAGGACTAACACCAGGACTAACACCAGGACTAACACCAGGACTAACACCAGGACTAACACCAGGACTAAACCAGAACTAAAACCAGGATTAATCCATTCCAGGACTAAACTAGGACTAAAGTAGGTCTAAACCAGGTCTAAACCAGGACTAAAACCAGTGATCTCGTATATATTTCTCTATCAATAATATTTTTAATATGGTTAAGGAAAGACTGGACTTTTTATTGTCTTTAAGTAGACAAAAGTTATTATGTTCAGATTTCCTCGTCTTTGCTACTTTACAACAAACAGTTTCTTATTCATGGAGACTTGGGCTCAACACCCAAATTGGAGAGATTTGTTAAACAATAAATGACTTTATAAAGTCACTTTTTAAAATATATATCAGTCTTTTGATCTGCCACAATAATGTAATAATGAATTTAAATGAAAATACCTCAAATTAAAGGCTTTTCTCAGTAATTTTTAGGTGAGATTAAAATGAGATTAATTAGATTAATTAATTACAGATCATAATTAATTAATCTCTCAATTTTTTTAATCGCATGACAGCACTACTTATATTATTGTAGGTGATTATCCACTGAGTTCACTGTTTGATCCATGCTGCATACTGCTTTGGGTATTTAGGAGACACTTAGGCCTCTGCTCTAAGATTATGACTTTTGGTACAAATCATTCTTTAGCAATTATAAATACATTTGCAATTAAGCCACTTTATTTTGGTCTGTAGTGTAAGATGGAAAACATGTTGGTGGTCACAGTTGTGACCGGTGGGACAGAGCATTTTATCATAGTGTAGGGCAGTTTATGTAGGAGCACACAGACCTTTTTACATATAATACAAGTATGATGGGTATCTCATGACATCTTGGATGAAATTTGAAGGCCTGGAACAAAGTAACTGTCACAAAAATTTTAAATTTACGTTCATCATTGTTATTGACTGCCCTGATATAGACTGTGAGGGAGAGATGTCCAGTTGGTTGTTCAAAACACCGTTCTGACCTGGTGGAGTCAGATGACTTGATAAAGTCCACCACTAGCACCACCCCTTTTCTTTTACCCCCACTTATTGAAAAGGTCACCTAGCTGCTATTGGTACATGCAAGATCATGTAGCTGTATAAGAGACAAGTCTGACATCTTCTAGAACTTATAGAGGGAAATCTAAAAACATCTAGGGTGCCAAATCAAAAGACTATCTCAAGTTTCTCTAGCTGCTGGTGGGACAAGTCTGAGGAAGATCCAAGGTCCTTTACCTGATAGAAACAGCTCTGAGTTCCTGTAGTAGCTAAAGACTTCTAAATGTAATAGAGAGGAATCTGAAAAACATCCAAGGTCATCTCGCTGCTACTGAGACAAGTCTAAAGAAGATCCAAGGTTCACTCAGAAATTATACCCCATCTGCCCCTCATATATAAGTGAGAACAGCATCGTCCTCATTTTGAGGAAAAATTGCACTGTTTTATATGTATATATATTTGGGGGAAAAAAAGTGCTTTATCTAAGTTACCATGTGGTTCTGTACTACTGTTGATAAAGATGATCTGATTTACGATAGTTTTAACTAACTTTTTTGGAAGTGAGTATCAAGGTTATAAATAAGAGATTATATTAGAATTAAGTTTTTTAGTTCATTGTAAAACATTTTTTTTGATGAAATGTTGAGCTTTTTCTTTTCACATTCACAAGTAAAGTGAGCTTTTTCTTTTTCTTTTCACATCTGTTAGTCCCACAAATTACATTTGTGGGACTAACAGATGTTATAAATGTTTTATGTCATTAGGTTCTTTTTTTCAGACCTAGAGTGTTATTTCATACCTGACAGTTTCGACTGCTCGCTAGCGTCTTCCTCAGAGTGGTCACGTGATGTTGCTGTGACGTGTCTGGTCTGAGGAAGACGCTAGTGAGCAGTCGAAACTCTCAGGAACGAAATAACACTCTAGGTCTGAAAAAAAGAACCTAATGACATAGAATATCGGAAGACCAAATGAATCTCATTGGACTGTTATAAATGTTTGTGTGTTAGTGTGTATAATCAAGTTAATAATAACAATGATCAAAGTACGATGAATTTAATAGTATTATATTATATACTATATTTAATAGTATTTGTGGTGAAATTGACATTTTTGTGTTTTCCCTATTCTCTGCATCTTTCAGTATTCTGAAACTGTTCTCGGATAAGAAACGAGTGGAGACAGCTCTGGAACAGTGTGGTCTCATCAATAACAAGGTCATTATCTTGGAGTTCTTATTAAGAACATTGATGTTTGTTTTGGTTTGGGACAGATCTATACATTTTTCTGATCAAAGGATTAACGCTCAGTTTCAAGTTCTCTTAACTATCATACATAATCCATATCACAGTTAACAGGATTCCATTTCATGTTTTTTCATTATTGATGTTAACATGAAAATATGTTGTAAGTTGTAAGTTTCACAGTGACCTATTTGTGTCTCCAAGTGCAAGGTTCCCAAATCAAATCAACTGTTACTTTTAATGATCGTAATTATAATGTTAAACATGATGGCCAAGATTTTGATGCTGTCATTTGGTATTTTGGTTCTCAAGATTATTATCTAACCAGAAAGCAGAATGAGCCTCACATAAGTTTTTCATGCTAGTGCTAGTGCAGCCTCTGCAGCTCAGTGGGTGAATTCTGGAGGTTCTAAGTTTGACATGAGGCCTGGCCATATACTGGGAATGAGACAAACTTGGATGTCTCCTAATTAGAGGTTAAGGCAACTGGGGTTCAGCTGTAACTGTAATATATATAATTTTAACCTGTTATATATATTTATTTAACCTGTACATACCCTCCATTTAGCTAGCAGCCATTTACATTTTTACTTGATTAAACTAAACATGTTTGCAATGTTTAACATAATTTTCTAATATGACACTGCTTTTTCATATTGCACAGCCACAGATAGAATCATAGATAAAGGCCTGTGGTCTGAGCTTTGGGTAATGACCAAAAGGATGAGATCGTGGATACAAGCGCTCGAAATGAGTTTCCTCTGCAGGGTGGCTGGGCGTTCCCTTAGAGATGGGGTGAGGAGCTCAGTCACATGGGAGGAGCTCGGAGTAGAGCCGCTGCTTCTCCACGTCAAGAGGAGCCAGTTGAGGTGGCTCGGGCATCTGTTCCGGATGCCTCCTGGAGGTGTTCCGGGCATGTCCCACAGGGAGGAGGCCCGGGAAAGACCTAGGACAAGTGTCTGGGGTGTAGGAAGTCTTTGAGTCCTACTTAGACTGCTGCCCCCGCGATCCGGCCCCAGATAAGCAGAAGAAAATGGATGGATAGATAAAGTCCATCAGTGTTTTTCCAATGAAGACGTTTGTGTGTCAGTCAGAGCTATCCCTCCACATGCCTTTGTCACAAGACTCAGAGGAGCAAACCAGATTGTGCAAAACTCTGGGACCCAGCCTGCTCCTCTGCTGCCCCCTGCTGCCCAGCTGCTAATGGAGAGACATGAACGCACTCACTATATATATATATATATATATATATATATATATATATATATATATATATATATATATATATGAAATTATTAGTTATTAGTGTGCTTATCTTATCTATAATATTAAAGAGGGGATATTGTTCCAAATTGACGTTTTTGGAGCTTTCTACCATATTATGTTTTTTCCTCATCAAAAACTTGCCTGAGAGGTTTAAGATGTCATCCATACATGTTTTAAGTGATTCCTGCACAAGACTTGGCTCACATGCCTACATCACCTATGCTCCTACACAACAATTCCCGTATTTAAATACATTTTCTGTTTTTCTTGTTTTCATTTTAAAACTTTTTTGCCAGTGTTTGCCAATGTGTGCATTGTGTATGCAAAGTAACTGATGAACATTCTGGCATACACACACATGTATACCACCACCAATATGATGTCACTGCAAAGGCAGTTTGATATGGATGCAACTGTGATTGGTGTTGTGTACCTGCAGTCAGAGGGCATCAAAGCTGATGACTTCACCTGGGAGGCCTTTCAGAAGTTCTTGGACAGCTTGTGTTTACGACCAGAGATCCAGAATATATTTGAGGAGTGGTAAGTTGAAATAAAGATAGATTTGGATTTTACAAGTAATTAATAAAATTTTAATATAAGGAAAAAAAAACTTGAATGAGAAGTTCTGTCCAAATTTTTTGACTGATGGGGTAATGATTTGATTATCTGCTTCAGGATTTGGAACTGCTAATGTTTGAAAGCTACTTGTGAATGCTCTACATACAGTAAATAGTCCATCTTGTGTGCAGTGGGTCGAGGAGGAAGCCATTCATCTCTTTAGACCAGTTCATGGACTTCATAAACCGCAGGCAGAGGGACTCCAGGCTGAACGAGGTCCTCTACCCCCCCCTGAAGAGGGAGCAGGTCAGGCAGATCATGGAGCGCTATGAGACCAACAGCAGCCAGTTGGAGAGAGGTGACGTGGCATTCACTTCACCTAACCATACTTACTATTGGCCTAACCTAATTACGCAATTTTCTTATCTATGACATAATTTTTGTTCCTCATCAAAAACATATCTAGAGTTGTGTTTTGTTTATTCACACAAGTTTAACACACAAACCCTGCATATTTAGGTTGAGTGCTCAAATCCTCCACTTTGATTTTAATCTTCATACACCTTCAATGAGAATAATTTGGATGAGTTCAGCTCCAGAACTGCTAGTCTCTACTAGACAACAGGTTAAAGGTGGAACAGAGAATTTTGAGATTTGAAGATTGGCAGTATAATGATAATGGATTACACAAATGTGTGTGAATGAAACAGAACTAAACTCTTTCTATGTTTTGATGAAGTACCAACATGATTTGAAGCTCACAAGAGTCAATATTGAGTACTATAGGGCCTTTAAAGTGCGTATGACATGTTTTCATGTTTGTGTAAGTCTTAGTTTGGTGGTATTGTCCCTGTGGTAAATATTGATCATAGTATTATCAAGTGGGAAAAAAAAAAGTTGTGAAGAAAATCACAAATTTAGGGACAATTTAGAGAGAGCAAAATACTAATTGATCTTGTGGGAAATTCAAGTTTTGCTCCAGCAACATTTCCTCTGTGCGTCTCAGTGGCCTTTGTGTCTCAGTCAAAGGTCTCAGTGCAGTTTAACAGGAGAACTGGTCAGGGAGGGACAGCACATCTGTGTCAGGGCAGTTTGAGGAGAGGAAGGGCCAAAAGTGTCCTTTGTCCATGTCACAATCCAACAGTCCCTTACTTGTGTCCTTTGAACTGCACATGCTGCAGTTGTTAGTTAGTTAGACACAACTAAAAGTAAATGAATCCTTACAGTATAATAACCTTAAAATATGCCCTTTTTTCTAATACTGAAGCATTTACCAGATTTTAGGCTTTGACCTGTATATATAGATTTTAGTTTCAACAATGTGATTAAACAGGAGGTATTGTGCAAAATCATCATTATAATGTGCTAGAACATTCCTGAGGAGGTTTTAGATGTCATCCGTGCATTTTTCGGTAATGTTTCAGTAATCTCTCCCAGGCTCTATTCGAACCCTCATTACGCCTTGCTTCCTTTTCCTATTATGGCTCCAATTTCACCCCTGTAACCACTAGCATCACAAGCCTCATTTTAGTGGAGCTGAAAACTGTGGGTGACGTCACACTCACTCAGTTCGCTTTATACAGTATATGGTAGTACCCCTCTTAAATCATTTAATCCTGAAAGATCAGATGTTTTGTTTCTATGAGTTGTATGAATTACAGTTTAATTGTGGTGCCATTTCCATCCTTGTACTTGCTGTTAAAGTTGTACCTCATGGCCTAAAGCACTGAAGCCCCGAGTGGAAGTGTCATGTCCCTTGTGTCCATGTACAGACCAGATCAGCCTGCAGGCCTTCAGCCGGTACTTGGGCGGAGACGAGAATGGTGTGGTGCCTCCAGAACGGCTGGATGTCATCGATGACATGAACCAACCTCTGTCACACTACTTCATCAACTCCTCCCACAACACCTACCTCACAGGTATGAACGCACGCACACACACGCACACACACACACACACACATACACACACACACAACCTCACAGGTATGAATGCACGCACACACGCACACACACACACACACACACACACACACACAACCTCACAGGTATGAATGCACACACACACACACACACACACAAAACCTCACAGGTATGAACACACATGCACATACACAAAACACCTACCTCACAGTTACACTTATGGAGGAGTCGTGGAGAGGGAGAGGTGTGGTGTGTGATGCATAGAGGAGACACAGAGAGACCCCATTGCCCCATTGTCAGAACTATGATCAAACACAAACTTGCGATACTATTATTGAGGCACTTTCACTCCTGTAAGAAGCAATTCAAAGTCTACACCAGGAGAATCCAACTTGCAGCTCTAAACCCCCTTCCAAATAGCTCACCAAGGGATTTCTGAATTACATGTATTGTGCTCATGACCATAGGTGATGGTCTGGGTAATGACTGAAAGGACGAGATCGTGGATACAAGCGGTCGAAATGAGTTTCCTCTGCAGGGTGGCTGGGCACTCCCTTAGAGCTGAGGAGCTCAGTCACACAGGAGGAGCTCGGAGTAGAGCCGCTGCTCCTCCACGTCGAGAGGAGCCAACTGAGGTGGCTCGGGAGGCCCCGGGGAAGACCCAGGACACTGTCGCTGGAGGAACTATGTCTCTCGGCAGGCCTGGGAATGCCTCAGGGTTCCCCCGGAGGAGCTGGAGGAAGTGTCTGGGGTGAAGTAAGTCTGGGAGTCCCTGCTAGAGACTGCTGCCCCCGTGACTTCCGGATAAGCTGAAGAAGATGGATGGATGTATTGTGCTAAATAAGTAAAGCTTGATTAATTAAATGCCTTTAACCATACATACATCTATTATTTGGATGCCTAACTTTGTTCACTAATAAATGGATAATGGTTTAGGCTTTATAGATATCTAGACATCTACCTCAGTTAAGGGTTGATGTAGCTCTTTTACAGTATATACTAAATTTCTTGTGACCGCTAAAACTAGTTGTTCTTTGGCATTTTTGTTTTGTAAGAGTAGCTCACCAAAGGAAAAAGGTTGGAGACCCCTGGTCTACAGACTACTGTGTGATGAGGGCAGAGACAGAGGGATTACAAGAGGGAAGGGAGAGATGCATGATGCAGTTGACCAGTGTCTATGTGTGTTGTGCAGTGGGGCAGCTTACAGGCCTATCCTCAGTGGAGATGTACAGGCAGGTCTTACTGACCGGCTGTCGCTGTGTGGAGCTGGACTGTTGGAAGGGCCGGCCCCCAGACGAAGAGCCCTACATCACCCACGGCTTCACTATGACCACTGAGATCTCCTTCAAGGTCGGCACTCACAGTACACACACCTGGCTTATTAGGCCTGACAGAATTGTTTAGAGCTCATATACCATTATAAATGTATCCCCTCATCAAAAACATTTATTTCTGACATTGAAGTTGAATGTATCATTAAATCCTGTAGCCATTTTTCTTTTCTTTTTTTAAATTTTTTATAGAAACTATAAAGATTGCTAAATATTTCTTTGGATTTAAATGTACTTTTACCAAAAACCCAGTTGTTCTGTAGAATAATGTTTACAGTTTACAAAACATTTTTCTGCTAAGTTAACTGGACTTACTTACTACTATAATATAAATATTAGGTCACTGTATATTAACTATATACTGGTGTACAGCCTAGTTATTGTTTTTCAAGTTGTTTTAAGTCACAGTTTCTTCATTTGCAGGAGGTCATTGAGGCCATAGCAGAGAGTGCATTCAAAACATCTCCATATCCTCTTATCCTTTCCTTTGAAAACCATGTGGATTCGTAAGTATTGTATACTTCTTACGTGGGGTGCCATTTTATGAAGGAGCTAATTCATGTTTGTGAAATCCCTGATGTGTGTGTGTACCAGGGCCAAACAGCAGGCAAAAATGGCCGAATATTGCAGGACCATCTTTGGAGATGCACTTCTGATTGATCCTTTGGAGAGATATCCGGTAAAACAGCTAAACCTCAGAACTTTGATGATGTGACTTGGCCCAGCACAGATGTTTATCTTCACCCCAAATTAATTCATTTAAAGTTGTGGGACTGGTTTTCACAGCTGCATGCATTTGTTGTGACCGTTTGAGCACCATTGGAGTTTGTAGTGGATAGTTTTGACAAGTTTTGTAAAAATCTAGATGTTCTCTCCTCTGCAGAGGGAGAGCACTGTCTGGCCCAGTGCTCTGTTCACAAAATTCTCACATTTTTCCAATCACCAATCCAACAACAATATAATAACAATGTTATAACAAAATGTAATGCCTCACACTTGAAATCCACTTTAAAGCCTCTCAAAGTGCAACACATTATTCATTCACTTCTCAGTGGTAACAAGCTACGGCGGAAGAAAGGCGGCCAATCTGTGTCATCGGATGCTATGACCTCCGCCAACATTCATCATGCATCATGTATCATGTATCATTTATCTATCTGCTGTTTTTTTTAGTTTTTTTTTTTAGTTTTATTTATTTAAAAGGGACAATGCATATTCATGAACATATACTTGTAAATACGCCAGAATTAGCCCAAAGGCTACTTTTCATCTGTAGTCCCTGGCAGGTCAGAGAGATAGAGACATAAAACATAAGAACATAAAACGCGTCACAATAGACAAACACACAAGCATGACATACAACACTGACATTTACATGGGAGCATAACATTAGTGATCACAGATCTGGTTTCTCTTAAGCCATCGCTTCAGATTCGGTTTAAATGAACTGAATGTGGTGGAGTCTCTTATAGCAGCTGGATGTTGTTCCAGATTTCTGGGCCCTTGACTGAAAACACCTGTTGACTGAAAGTTGTGCGTCTATAGGGTTTTCCACAGTCGCCTCTGATAGAGGCTCTTGTTCCCCGACCACTAGTGCTGGACCTGGGCTTAATGAACTCACCAAGAGCTGGTGGAGCAAGTCCATTTAAGACTTTGTAGACTGAGCAGGCGAGTTAAAATTTTTGAAAATTTCCAAAACTTAAGATATTATACTTCTGTAGTATGAGACAATGATGAAACGATAAAGATTTACTATCAAATATCTTTAACGCTTTTTTAAAAAGTGATTATTTGTGTCTATTATTTTTAAGGTTGTCATGCTTGTCAGTGACCAATTAGTTATGCAGTGTTCAATATGAGAGAGAATCATGCTGTGGAGAAACATTTTAGCTGCATTTTCTGGCAATGATGCTCTAATTTGCCTAAAATTGTGAATATTAAAATTAACAATTTTTGATATGTTTTTTACATGTTTTTTAAAAGTTAAAGTGGAGTCCAAGTTAACACCAAGATACTTAAATTCATCTACAAACTGGAGTCCCTAACCCCTCAGCAGCACATTTAAACAAGACTTTGATGGACGTTTTGAAAAAAGCATGCAAACAGTTTTTTTAGTATTCAGTAAGAGACTTGACTTGGTCAGCCACTTATCTAAACAGGTGATTGCTGATGTTAATTTCTCTGAGGCTTCTATAACAGATTTTGCTTTTGTAAAAATGACGGCATCATCAGCATGCCATGCCAACACAATGTAAAGGTCCGTTCAAACATTCGGCAGATCATTAATGTATAATGAAAATAAAATAGGTCCAAGTATGGAGCCTTGTGGTACTCCAACCTTGCAATCGACATATGGGGATTTGATACCGCTGACGGACACACAATGGGTTTGATTTGCCAAGTATGATTTTATCCAAATTATGGCCTGCTCAGAGAAATAAAATTTTGTTAACCTAGTTAATAATGTTTGGTGGTCAACCGCATCAAAAGCTCTTTTCAAATCAAGAAAGACTGTACCAACAAAAGGGTAAGCATCAAAAGAAAATTAAACTTTTTCAAGAAAAAGCCGTTTCAGTTGAATAATTTGCACGGAAACCAAACTGCATAGCATGCAGTGGGGTGTAACCCATATTTAAGTGATCAATTAATTGTTTAGTGACCCATTTTTCAATTATTTTAGATATAATAGGCAATATGCTGATTGGTCTGTAATTCTTGACATCTGTTTTATTACCAGATTTGAAAATTTTAGTAATCGTGGCCACTTTCCATGCTGTAGGAACAACTGAATGCCTAATTGACAGATTTATCAAATGTGTTATTGGACATATCAGGGAGTCCTTGTGTAATTTTATAAAATTAGTGCCCAGACCATATGCATCCTTAGCTTTTGAAGTTTTTAATTCACTGATGATGGAAGCTACATCTGAATCCCTAATTTCAGCTATCCTGAAGATAGGCAGACACTCATTAACAGAGAAAGGTACATTTTCATATGAGGTAAAAAGCTGTGAAATTTCTTGGACTGAATTTTTTTTTTTTAAATACTGAATTCAGTTGCCACGGTAACAGGATCTTTAACAAGTTTGTTATTTATTTTTAGTTCTAGTTCTTTACCATGTTCTGTTTTATTACCAGTTAATTTACTAATGTGCCAGTTTTTTTTGCAATTTCCTTTAGCAGATTCGATAATTGACATATAAAAATTTGCCTTGGCTTTGCGCATTGTGTAAATTACTTTGTTTCTTGCAGACGTAAAAAGCTGTCTATCCGAAACAAGTCCAGTTTTAGTGATTTTTTTAAGTAACTGGTCCCTTTTCTTAATTAATTTCCTGCATTCCTCATTGAGCCATGGTAGATCACCTTTACTAGTTTTGCATTTCTTTCTCCTTGTAAATAAAGTTATAACATCTTTAATTTTGGAGAAGAAGGTAACACTATTTGTTATGATGTCATCACATGAGACTATTTCAGTCCAATCTAGCTCCTTTAAAGCCATAGCCAGATTTTGATGTTGACTTCTTGGGACCACATCATAGAAGGATGAGGAGCTCTGAGCAACTGTATGAGGCATTTGGAAGCGCAGTTTAGATAGTTTTCTAGCAAAAAAGATTGCATTGTGGTCGGACAGCCCTGTTAAAAAATTTAAAGTTTTGAATATTCTTTCATGTTTATTTGAGAAAAGGAGATCTATTCTTGTTTTTGACTGGTTAGTTATACGGGTCGGCTTTTCTATTAATTGAACCATGCTGAAAATGTCAGTTATCTGTTTCAAGTTTTTCCTTTCTTTCTTATTGTCCCAGTTAATATTAAAATCACCAATTAAGATTACTTCTTTACTGTGACAACAGAGGTTAAGAAGTATTTTGAGCTGATCATAAAAATCTATATTGGTTGATGGTTTCTGATAAATACAGAGAACAGTAAAATTCATTTCCTTTGAGAGTACAATATTTACTCCAACACATTCAAGTTTAATATTATCAGGCCATTCAAGTTTTGAACATTTTAAAGTATCTCTTACGTAAACTAAAACACCCCCTCCTCTACCTTGACCCCTATCTTTCCTAAAGACATTATATCCTGGCATATGTATGGCAGCTTCAGGTGAAGAACTTGTTAGACAGGTTTCTGTTAGCCCCAGGAAATCAACATTAGACTCAATCAATAAGTGCTCAAGTTGTTCCCGTTTTGGAATCATACTTCGAATATTAATGTGTCCTCCAAGTAATCCTTTGGGTTTAAGATATGGGTCCCAAATAGTCCTTGCATGATTAAGTGTCTGGAAAATCTTTTCAGATCGATGTTTTTTTATAACTGGATTTCTCATAGGCACCTTTAAACATGACTGATGATGATCTATGGTTGTTTGACTGTTTGTACCATGGGAGAGTGATTTGGGAGACACAGCTCCAAGCTGAGGATGTAACCCAGCTAGCAGTGGATGTAGCCCAGGTCCAGGTGGTTGTAGACCAGCTAGCGGTGGATGTAGCCCAGGTCCAGGTGGTTGTAGACCAGCTAGCGGTGGATGTAGACCAGGACCAGGTGGATGTAGACCGGGACCAGGTGGATGTAGACCGGGACCAGGTGGATGTAGACCGGGACCAGGTGGATGTAGACCGGGACCAGGTGGATGTAGGCCAGCTAGCAGTGGATGTAGTACAGGTGGCTGCAGCTTAAATAGCAGTGATGGCAGGCCCATTAGTAGCGGACCAGGATTTATCTCAATATCACCAGCTAAGAGCAATATCATCAGAAGGTGCAGAACTCCTAGGTAAGGTTTAAAAGTGTTTAAATTATCATGTTTACCGGAGGTTGGTTTAGCATGTCCATTGTCCAATAGAGAAAATGCTGACTCCTCTTGGCTGGGTAGAAGATCTGGTCATTCTTTGTATCCTTTTTTCGTGGACATGTTGCACACAGAAGTAAATATAGAGATACAGAACCAAGTAACAGACAAGTTGATGACAAAAGCTGTGGTCTTTTAGTGCTTTTAGAGAGCTTTTGTGGCATGCACACAGGACCTGCCAAGATGTGTGACTGCACCACGACGGCCATCTTGCCATCTCCATCCTTGGATGGAGATGTTGACTTATTTTAGCTTTTAACCCTCTGTATATATAAACACAAGTGCTCCAAAAGCAAATACCCCATTAGTTGGGATTTCCTGAATTTATTTGCAAAATGGAGATGTATTTTTTGAGTTGATTCATGTCAATCAATTATAAAACGTTCCAAACACTCCAGGTGTTTGGTCCTTGACAAATATAGAATAATACATTAAACTAACAGTACTGACACACTGTAAAATGTGTTATTGGAGTAAAAGTACACTGTCTAAAAAGCACTCAGGAGTACACATTTACACACAAGAGCTAGGCTTATTGTAATTTCTGCACAGTTTATCCAGTGATGCTGCTGTTGTGGATAGTTATTATGTCTCATACACGCATAGAGGATTTTAAGTCGATTTTGCTTGTCACAAATTGCCTGCATTAGGCGGTTGACTTGGTGTGAAGCCTCAGTGGTTGGTTTAGATATATTGTGCTTGTATCTGCTTTCTAATTATCATCTATGACACCTGTGCATCATTATGTTATAATTTGGACATTTTAAATCACAACCACTGGAAATCCCAGGTGCTACAGCGTGGTGCCAGCGGCAAAAGCTGTTGCGTCCTTATGTAAGACACTTCACCACATTCACTAGCTAGGACCACACCAACATTGATAATGTACGATGCGAGGGCAGAGATGGCTGGGTTGAGACTCTAGGTGGGGGCTCCGACTTAATCTTTAATTGGCCCAGCCGGAACGGGACCCCCCCCTTGTCTTATGACTGAAAGACAAAATAGGGGATGGGAGGGTGGGGTTGAGTTAGCAAAGACAAACTGGGATGAAGGGAAAGGCTGCTACATATAGGCTTCTGGGAAGTTAGAGGCGTGGTCGAGGTGAGTTGTGGTTTGCTGGTGAGAGGAGTGGGCGGCTGCGGCGTGGTCCTGCTCCTGAATCTCACTTAATCATATTAACTACATTTATGAAAGTGTTGTGTGCGTGAATGGACAGATTGGCTTCCTCGCTTCCATCAGTTTGCCCCAGGACAGCTGTGGCTACAATAGTAGCTTACCACGACTGAATGATCAGTGCACAATAATGTAAAGTTTTGAGTCTGGAAAATCACTACATGCTCTCTAATGCATTGTTACAATACTCGGCAATATCGTGTTTAGAAAATAAGGAATTAATGATTGCTCAAAAATGCATGAATCATTCAAAATACAACTTCAGAAGGTAAATGTTGAGGGGAAACGACTATTAAGTCGATTGCAGAATAGGTCTGCTTTAACATAGTTTTGCTTCTGATCTAGCTGGTTCCAGGCCTGGCCCTCCCCTCACCGCAAGAACTCCTGGGTAAAATCCTGGTCAAGAACAAGAAGAAGCACTACCACCAGCGGCCCTCGAGCAGTGGCAGCGTCCGGCGAAGGGAGCTGGAGGAGCAGTCGCCTCCAGCCAATGGTAGACCTCTGACTCCAGAGTACAATGACTATATTTACATGCAGGATTCATGTGTGATACCACCAGTCAGGTCACTCTTGTCCACACGCAGGTCAGAAACTATTTAATAAAGTTAAATAATGTTATAGTGTAGTGTTAGGACTAAAACGTTATACCTCTACTTGCTAATAAAGGCCGTTAATATTCTTATAATGACAGTTTTGCAAATAAGCCCACAAATAAGCCTGACAAATTCAGACTGACAGACTGATATCAGTCTGGTTCCATGACATAACAGATAGATGCCAAGTAATTAGATTAGTTTATTTCAGTGACAATGACAATTAACAAAAGAGCTCATTGGTTACCTATTATTTAAAATAAAATACAATTTGCCTCACCTCTGATTAGCTGAGTTATTATAATTATTTAGTTAATAGTATGGGGGAAGTGTGCATTCTAGATCCCAGGCAACAGATAAGCAACAAGTCAAAAAAAAGTATGAACATTTGATTTACCTCTATTATAGACACAGAAGACCTAAAGTGGCTGGTTGAGCAAAATTTGTTTTGTTCCAATATTGTAATATATTGTATAAGCAGCCCTTACGATAGAGATTAGACCGGTCTGCACTTTATCCTCAAGAATCAGGAGGTGTGCTGTTAGCATACTAATGTTTTTTAGCATGCTAATGTTAGCATTATCGACTGCAAAATTCAGGCTGACCGCTGAAAGATGTCTAAAGTGCTTATAAACTCATTGGGATGAATAATTAGAATGCCAGGAGTGCTTTAGAGAAATGAAGAGTAAGTTAGGACCACAGCAAACTGTTATAATAGACTAGTTCTGTTTTTCATGTTTTTTTAGACTGTAAAAACACAAAGGCTAGTACTTTATTACGACAATGTGTGCATTATGCATGCTGTTTAAAAGCAACAACCTCCTCAAATCTGCCTTTGCCCTGGTGCATAAGCTAAAGCTGTGTTTGTGTATAGACTGCCCCCTGTCTGAGAGCTTTGGAAGCCAGTGCTTGTCCAACGGAGAGGAGAGGCTCGCTGAGAGGATGATGAAATACTCAGAGCCTCGCAAGTCCATTGGTCAGTAAAGACACGACATGCAGGATGGACACCACGCTGCACATGTACACAGGCCGACAAGTACAGACAATGCCCCTATATCTTAAAACATATATATTTTATATATATATATATTTTATATATATATATATATATATATATATGTGTGTGTGTGTATATATGTGTATATATATATATATATATATATATATGTATATATATGTATATATATATATATATATATATATATATATATATATATATATATATATATATATATATACACATTTATGTGTATATATATATATATATATATATATATATATATATATATATATATATATATATATATATATATATATATATATATATATATATATATATTATATTTATATTTTTATTTTATTTTTAGTCTTCCTCTGTGGAACCCCAAGTGCTTCATCTCAAGGGTTAAAGGGCCTATAATGCAATATTTTCTGTTATGTTGTTGAAACAACATCACAAATACAAATCTTGCATGTGTTTTTTTTTTCTCTCAAACTTGAAATACTTTTTTCCTCTTTGTGATGTCATTAAGTGGCAATACAGGGGTAATACAAGATATCCACTCTTTTTTTTTTTTTTACATACAGCTTCACTAGAATCAACTGGATCTCTGGATTTTTTGTTTTGTTGGATCTATTGTTTTAGCTTCACCATCACCAGCTTTTCAAAAGAATTAAACACTTTCATTTTAGAGTCTCAACTGTACAAAAGGCAAAACAAAAATATTAAAAATGGAAGTTACAAAATAAGATTAAAGAGAGAGAGTGAGAGAGGGAGAAATACTTATTGATCCTGAGGGAAATTCAAGTTTTGGTGCAGGCTAAAAGTAGCTTTTCACTTTAAAGCTACCACTAAATGGCATCACTAGGTATTTTGAACTTTGAGGATGTAGACAGCCTAATAATCTATGTGTGGATAGAACAAAATACAACTCCAGGTATGTGTTTGAGGTAACAGCGTTCTAACATGGCCAGAAGACCTACACATATCTGACCTTTAACTTGACATCTAAGCAAAACAGGAGTTGGTCGGCAATATTGCGTCTTGAAAATAATCCATGGAGACTGGAGATTCTAGTTGCACTGTTTTTAGCTTGATACAAAAAGGGTCCCTTTTCAGTTAGCCAGATGCAGAAATTGCACCCCCTGTTGGTGATTGGTATACAACTAGGGCCTTAAGGTCTTTCCTAAATGTCCAAAATGGTTAGAAAGTCTAAATAATCCATAGTCCAATGTGAGATCCTGCACATTGTGTCTTTACGATATAAAAACAGGAATTTCAGCACAAATATCCATGCTAATCGTTTTCTGGGTTCTAGGCGGTGAGGGGGAGAGTGAGGAGGAGGATGAGGAAGAACCCATGACCGAGCTCAAGAAGCCCAACTCAGACGAGGTGAGTTTACAGTAGTTGGACAAAATCAGTGGTGGGTAGAGAAGCCAAAAATTTGACACAAGTAAGAGTTGTGTTACTTCAAAATAATATTACTCAAGTAGAAGTTCAAAGTAGTGTTCCAAGAACTCAAGTAAGATTAAAAATGTATTTGGATTTGAAAAGTGCAACACAAGTAAGATGAACTTTGTTAACTTGTGAACTGTAATTTGAAGGACAAAATAATAAATAAAGCACAAAATCTGGTATTTTCAAATTATAAACACAAAAAAGAAACTAAATCATGTCTAGTGGAGCGATGCAAGAAACACAAATGTTCAAATCATTTCATATTGTCAACATAAAGCTTTTGTCACTTAAGCTTTTGTCACTTAGACTTAAGGCCACCACACACTACAGGATTTATCTGTCTTGAACTATTTTTAAATGTGCGACACATCACAGACACGAGGAGAATGTTATGAGATTTTAAATCTCCGAGCTCAGACTGCCGTTTCGTGTCTACAGTAAAACAGTTCACTTTGGGACTCGTAAGTGTTCAAAGATCAGACCACTGCACTTCTAGTTTAGATACAAGTCAAATTGTATTATTATTATTATGTGTGAAATGTGGTGCAACACTTCAGATACACGATTTTTAATGCACAGATGGTTGGCAATAAAGTCCACAGGAAATAGAGTCACTGTGAGCTCTATGAAGAACTACTCTGTTCTACTCTAAAGAACACTTCAAATTGGACTAATAGCAATGTTTTGTGGACTGACTGACATTATTTACGGAGGATAAATTCTATGGATAGTGTGCATGAGATGCTGCAGTTTAAATTTACAACTTTATGAGTGGTGAGTAATAATTATTTTCGCTGTTTACTGAGTTTGTATCTTGTCCTCCTGTGTCCGTCACTCCATCACTCACAATAAAAATATTGCTCAAGTAGAAGTATAAGCATGCTGCTTAGAAAAGTCCTCTGTAAAGTAAAATTTCTTTAAAAAGTTAGTCAATTAAATGCAACTGATCCATGCATGTACTCCCATGTGACAATTCTCCATAAGTATACAAAATGTATAAAACAAAACAATACACTACAGATTTACAAACCTGGTGCAACGTGCAGTTAGTGGAATGCACACTGTTTGTAATTTGATATTGTTCTAAAAGTGGAGGGGTTTTGACTCGGTGTAAAAAAAAAAAAAGAAAAAGTGAAATTGAATACTTTGTTTTCTGCGAATATATTTTCAAAACAATAAAGCGTAGTTAATACCCCATAGAAGCAAAATAAATTAAATGTAGGACTAGTCAATATTAATACTAATCAGGCTATCTCTACTGTATTTATTACTATTGCAATCTAATCACTGTGAAATGTGAGCTGCCTTCATGACACTGGAAATAAGGTTTGGGGCTTCACTAACTGAGCTTATACCTGTGTGTCCCAGGGCACAGCCAGCAGTGAGGTCAACGCCACAGAAGAGATGTCCACTCTCGTCAACTATATTGAGCCTGTCAAGTTCAAGAGCTTCGAAGTGGCATGCAGTAAGTGTCTGTGCCATAGACTCTATATAATAATAATGCACAAGTTTTATATAGTAATAATACTAGACAGTGTGGGTGAAGTGCCTTGCCTAAGGACACAAGGACTAGCGCCCCTCTGTGACATTTGATTTTGCCAGCAGTTTCCCATCCCAGTACTAATCAGGCCCAGCCCTGCTTAGTTTCTGAGATCTGATGGGGTCAGGCTTTGACAAGCCTGATTGATAAAGCCTGGCTCCAAATTACGAATATAAACACTAGCATCGCTAGCTTCAAGTCCCCTTCTTCTGTATATCAGCAAATACACAAAAGATACAGTTCCCATTCTTCTCCCCATATCTATGTGGGTTTCAACCATAAACTAGGGTGACCAAACGTCCGTTTTTCCCCGGACATGTCTATTTTTTGCGTCCTGTCCTGGGCGTCCGTTTTTTTTTGTTTTTTTTTAAAGTGATGGAAATGTCCGGGTTTTCATTACCTTTCATTGGGCCATTAAATTGAGCAGCTCTCGTAGCTCTGTGACTCAGAAGGTGCAAGCAGACACAAACAGTCAGTCTGCAACATGCCGAAGGGCAAATGCACATTTAACAATGACTTACAAGAAATTCTCCGTTTTCCGTCCCGGTCGGGACAAGTGGGAGGCCATGTGCACAGGTTGCGAGGTGAGAGTAGCTCAATGTCGAGACCCCCCCCCCCCCAAAGGTGTCTGGGTTTTCACAAACAGAAATATGGTCATCCTACCATAAACTGTATGTAGATGTGGACTGAGCGAGTGTGACATCACCCATGATGTTCAGTTGCAGCCAAATGAAGCTAATTGAATCTGGCAGTTGTAACAGCAATTTGCAACGAAGTTCCTTATTTGTAATCAGAATGTGTAAGCCAGGCGTGTCCAAACTATGGCCCGTGGGCCAAATGCGGCCCTCAGACAAATTTTTCTTGGCCCTCAGGCTTCCAGATGAATTGGCCCAAATTACCTTGCATCAATTAAAAAAACTTTTTACTGCAAGTAGTTTTTTTTTTTTTATCTATTTGATATTTAGTGTGTGGTTTTAAGGATTGTAGCATCAATAAAGACTGAGGGCTCATTCTAATGTGTTAAACATGCACATATTTCAATTATTCATTGTAATGAGCACCAGTCTATGGCCCTCGATCGGCCCTCTGCTTCATCTCTGTTTAGATATGTGGCACTTGATGAAAAAAGTTTGGATACCCCTGGTGTAAGCCAAAAGCCACGTATTGTTGGGGTTATGGGTTAGGAGTTGGTTTCGTAGGGGGCAGGCACCTAGCAATGATGTGCTATTGATATTTTGCAGCAACATCATGCTGGGGCAATTTTTTCATGTATGTCTATGTTGGAAGGTTCAGCAGATTACACTGTGACACAATGCACATATTTGCAAACACAGCCAGAAAAGTTTTAAAATAACCTGCAAACTAAAGAAGAACGAAATTTATATTAACAGCACATTTTTCAGGATCCTGTGATCAATCTGAGCATTCATGGTCTTGTTTAGGTCTTTAATTTTCAACAGTAATGGTGAAAGTGACTAACTCTTACTATTGGCTAATGCTAGCTAGCTTGTGCCTGCAATGATGTGAGAGACGTGTTTAACAGCACAGATCAGCTCTCCTGTTGTAGTTCAGCTAAGTCAGTTCTTTATGGTCAGATTGTGTTCAAATAAACCTCAGGGGAACACACAACTCACACACTGTTAAAAGCTAGAGAGTAAAAGTGGGTAAAAGTCTAAATTGAGTAACAGAGCCTCAGATAGAGCAGTGCCAACAATTACACCCTGAGCTTATACCTTTACAGCAGTGTGGAGAAAAAAAAGACTAGATTCTTTCATTAATAACTGATGCTTTCTGTGTATTTATTTAAAATCTACCCTCTACATGTCGGTCAGATACATAATATATGTGTGATTGGCAGCAGTTTTATAGATTTTTTTTTTTCATAGAGAGGAACAAGTTCTTTGAGATGTCATCATTCGTGGAGACAAAAGGCATGGACATCCTGAAGAACTCCCCGGAGAAGTTTGTGGAGTATCCTTTTCCACTCTTCTGATGTAAGTGCTCTGCTTGTGTCCTCCTCATGCTGATGGTGCAGTCATCTTTAGAAGATAATGCACTATATAAACAGATTGCATATAATTTTCAATATACTACAATAGTGTTAAGATTAAGTGATAAAAACCGGTGACCCGACCCCGGATAGGCAGAAGAAAATGGATGGATGGATAAAGACAAAAAAAAAAAAAAAAGGTTAGGTTCTTAAATTCTTTGTTAATGAGCCTATGGATTTATTAACCAATTTTAAACATTTATCATTACATCTATCAATGCATTAGCCAGGCTGGCGCCACCTAGTACCTTCACTCAGTTTCATTTCTTTCCAGTGACTAGGTCAGGAATCGGAATACACTAGACCGTTCGCAAAAACCCCTGAAGTGCGAGTTCGGGCACCAGCCAATCAGCAAAGAGTCAGACATTCTGTGTTGTCAGCGATTACCGAGATCAAGGATTTAAAGACGGAATAAAGAGAATGTTTGGTGGATTTTATCTCGGGGAAAGACGTTATTGTCCTTCTTCCTACGGGATTTGGGAAAACTTTAATATACCAGTTAGCCCCGTTAGCGGCGCATTACGTACATCACGAATAAATAGCAGCGATTGGTTAAATAAAAAAGTACCTGCCTACCGTCGAGCGAACAAATTCTAACACTCCAAGGTCAGATGAATCAGGCTATCAATGTATGTCTTCTAAAGCATACAGCACTGTTGGATGTTAAATGACATAGTTTAGCTATAGTGTGGTTCCCTGACAGCCCCATGTCAGATACAACAAGAACCAGTTGAGTCGGATCTACCCCAAAGGGACCAGGGTGGACAGTTCCAACTACATGCCCCAGCTCTTCTGGAATGTGGGCTGCCAGATGGTGGCTCTAAACTTCCAGACACTTGGTAAGAACACAGTTCATACAGTATATGACATTGGAACATTTTCAAATATGATTACTAAATGGTAATGTTAGGACTAAGAACTACAGTAAATATAAAGAGAGATGGGTAGTCTGTCTGTCTGGACGTAGCATTTCGTCTGTAAAAACATGAAGTAATGCACCAAATCTGGTATTTTCAAATGATGGACACAAAAATGAGACAAACTAAATCATGTCTGAAGGAGTGTTGCAAGAAACTCATAGTGGGGAGAATAAGCAGATGCACTGATTTGATACTGGTATAGGATGTCTGTGCTGACGCTGATCGGTTATCGCCTTCCAAATATCGGTTCAACTGCTATCTGTTTGGGCCGGGAAATTGATGCAATTGATGACTGCTGGCTGTAGTTGGCCCAGAAAGTCACATTGCATTATTTATACAAAGTTGTTGTGTAATTATTTGAGGTATACTATAAAGAACAGCTACATAACACGTTTGGATCAGTTTTTGTCTTATTTTATTTTAAAGGAAATAAATGCTTTTTTCAGTCTCTACACTGATATCTGTTGATATTGGGTATCGGTAAATACTTAAAGCCATAATATCTAAATGAGTATCAGACCTGAAAAAGTTGTATTGGTGCATCCCTATCACAGATGTAATATCCAAACCATTATTAGTTATTCAGTACTATTTGGTAATCCTTTCACTGGATACTTGTACCTTTACCTAGTACTATGTCTGTGCCCCTCCCTCTGGTCATACGGACTTAAGTCTTACACTCTCCCCTCTGCCCCTCCTCTCTCCTCTGCCCCTCTCTCTCTTCTGACCCTCCTCTCTCCTTTTCTCCCCTCTGCCCCCCCTCCCCAGACCTTCCCATGCAGCTCAACATGGGAGTGTTCGAGTACAACGGCCACAGCGGGTACCTGCTCAAACCTGAGTTTATGAGGAGAACTGATAAAAGCTTTGACCCCTTCACAGAGGATATTGTGGATGGCATTGTGGCAAACACCATCAAAATCAGGGTGAGGACTAATATAGCGGTACACATGTTAATCCAGTTCAGCTCATTATGTCTTCTGATATATTCAGTAGGTCTGTCATTATAACACATTTTGAAGTGCAATGTATTGCTGAAGTAAATATAAATGATAAACGATAGTTCTGACACTAATTTATGCCACTGATACATTAACCCAAATCAACAATATTATAAAAAAATATAATGAGTAATAAATAAATCTTCGAAAGAAACACTTTAGTACTTAGTTTGCATCTGTAATGAATCAGAAGTCATTCATTCAATCTTGTATGGTTCAGATCTTATCCTATAGAGGCCCTGTATGTGACATCATGGCCTTGCCCTGATCCACTTTTGGCAGTCCAGCTAGCCAGACCACCAATAGACTACCATTGTAAAGTTAGCACATTTTCGAGTTGTTCCTTTAATTTTCACATTAAGACACTCTGGAAAAGTGCTGCGTACAGATCTGTAATCAGCAGAGAGATAAAGACATAGGAGTTCAGTTGTATTGGATCCCAGTTGAATTTGACAGATGAGACAAGTGGAGCTGCCATCAGAGTGCCAAATACCCATCCATATTCAGGACGTCCCCATCTCCGTTTTGTAGAGCAATACAGATTCAAATGGAAAAAAAAGGAAAAGACACCATGGTGGATGCCACAGACAGGGTAAACTGAATAGGCCCTATTCAATTGATTAAACTTGATTCAACTAAAATGAAGTGCATTTAGCCTTGTGTGAGAAATGCTACAGTCAGACTAGATCCAAACCAGAGTCTGCTGCCATTACCTGAACTCAGATCTTCTGCTGCAGGCTGACGTGCGGTGAGTTGCGTACGAAGTTCTACATGCTGCTGTTTTATGAATTCATGGTGATAATAATAACTTGAGATGATTGCAGCCCGTGGTTTTAATGGGGAACATAGATACCTTTTGCATTTGGAGGAACATCGGGAACATCAGGCTGACTCTGTCCGGGTCCGTATGGGATGGCGTCTGGACTATTTTTATTCATGACATATTTATCAGTTCAAAATTGGTAATGCTAGAGCTCAGTTGGTAGAGTGCTTGACCTCTGAGCCAGATCCCAGTGTCTGTGCATGTGCATGTGTGAATTGTGTGAATGGGTGAGTGGTGGCTTAAAGGTAAAAAAGAGCTGTGTAAATATGACGTTTCATTGTGTTTGTGAACAGGTGATCTCAGGCCAGTTCCTGACAGACAAACGTGTGGGCGTGTATGTGGAGGTGGATATGTTTGGACTGCCCACAGATACAAAGAGGAAGTACAGAACCAAAACCTCCAATGGGAACTCGCTGGACCCGGTGTGGGAAGATGAGACCTTTGAGTTTAACAAGGTAACATGCATGAAGCCATTTAAGAATTTGGATTACTTATTTCAATCAAATCAAGTGTATTTAGAAGATTTTTTAGAAGCACCATTTAAAGAACCTTTTATACAAAAAAAATAAATAAAAATTATCAGAGCTTTTAACCATGTTATGGATGTTTCCATTTTCATTTACCCTGTTCAAGTTATATTTATATATTTATTTTTTATGATATGATTGCACAGGTTAAAAATGCTGTTTAAATGGTTTAGCCTACTGTTGCCCAGCTAAGATAAAGTTCAAACAAATATTGATTATTCAAATCCATACATACTCTAAAATAAAACTAATGGATAACTTGACTGCATTTCTGTTTTTAGGTAGTCCTCCCAACACTAGCCTCTTTGAGAATAGCTGTTTTTGAAGAAAATGGCAAGTTCATTGGTCACCGCATCCTCCCTGTCTCTGCCATCAGGCCTGGTGAGAGAAACATTAGACATATCTCGTATGACTCCTGTGACTGGCTCATTGTAAATGTGTGTTTGTTGGGGTGTTTAAGGCTACCACTACATCAACCTGAAGAATGAGCTGAACCAGCCTCTGCTCCTGCCCTCTCTGCTGGTGTGCACTGAAGCCCAGGACTACATCCCCGATGAACACTCTAGTAAAGCTTTCTCCTCACTCACTATATAACCCACCTTTTATTTTAAACAGGATTTTATAAATACCCATTAATCCAGAACTACAATAACATTTCTGATTTAATACTAGTCTTGATTTGCCCCTGGTCCCCACCATGACTTCACTTACTGAGGATTCAATTCAAAGATCTTAAAAATATTCAAACTATTGAACATACTTGTAAGGTTTAACAGTGGCTATGTTCACATGTACACCAAAATAATCTTAAAGTACACTTTATTGCCCCTGTAAGGAAATTTGTCCTGCATTTGACTTATCCTTCAATGCCACTGGAGCATCTCCTCAGGAGCAGCGAGCACAGGGCTCAGAGAGCCTTCTCCAGATCATGAGCTAGTCTTGGTTAGAACTACCTTTGCTGGAGACACAGGGAGAACATGCAAACTCTGCACAACCCCCATAAATCTAAATTAGGTCAACTGGCTCTTCAAGTAATTTCATAATGAATGAATGGATTTGTGTGTCCACAAAGTTCCAGGTTAATGTACATATCTAATGTACATATATTTCTATATATCTATATCTATATTGATAGATGGACGGATGGATGAATAGATGGATAGATGGATGGATAGATAGAAAGATAGATAGATAGATAGATAGATAGATAGATAAAATGTTGTGCTTGCTTTTAGAATATGCTGAAGCTTTGTTCGACCCCATCAAACATGTCAGTCGAGAGACACAACTGGCTGTTCTCCTGGACACTGTGGAGGTGAGTTCAAAATATAATACTAAAATAGAACAAATATGCCAAACAGATATATATATGTTTATATCTTATGGTCATATTTTTATTACACATTTGTACTTTCAAGAACCTTTACACCCTCTGCCTGGACTTCTATTTAGTTTCATCCACACATATTTAACACACAAATCCTGAATATTTAGGTTGAGTTCTTCTCTCCAGCAAAAACACTTACATGTGGTATATACACTCTCTCAAACAGAAAACACTTCCACCTTATGAAGTCATGTATTCATACAGACATCTTAATAATGCAGGATTTCACAAATTTGTGTGAATGGAACAAAACACAAGTCCAAATATTTTTTGAGGAGGTAACAACATTATAACTTATTAAAACTCAAGAGTAAATTTTGCGAGTCAATATAGGACCTTTAACATAGATCTGTACAATCAAAGTGATTTACTTGGCTGTATATGTGTTCAGCATGTCCCTAACCTGCCCAAAAGAGGAGAGCTCACCAAAGTCAACGATGCCAACCTGACTTTCCCGTGCCCCAGTGCCAACCCTGCCCCAAGCCCCTGGATTGACTACCCAGAAAACTTTGCACCTGCCCCAGGTAACTACTAATGTTCACACCTAAACGCACTTATCACTGCACTAATATTCATTTTGGCATGTACTCAAGAATGTTGGTTTGTTTGCAATTTTCTAGTTTTTGACACAATTTCAATTTCAATTATTATTTGTTCTGCCACTCACCTGGAGCAATCTAGTTGATAATTGGATGATGTCATAGTTACAGACAGCTTCAAAAAAGAAAATTCCAAACTCATGATCCACAATTGTTGAACCTTATCATTATTTGTTTGGGATTGACAAACTTGCCACATTAAAGGACCTAGTTGTGTCAAATCCTGCATATTTGGGTTGTGTTCTGTTCCACCTTATGATGATCAAATTGTAATAGAGGAAGTATTAAATCATTTGCAACCCTTGAATTTCTAAGCTTTGAAGTTATTTCTGTTATTTTAGCCTCATTGTAACTTCTTTGCTTCTTGGAGGACCAGATAATATTGTGGAATTTCTGTGGCAATCTCAACTGAACAAAAGTTAAAAATAAACAAGGGAACTTTTTTTTGTTATGTAATGTACAGCAGTTCAATTGAGGCTAAAATTTGCTGTTAACTTCAAAATGACATCACAAGGTTGAACAAAGCATCTTGAGCTTGGGAATGTAGACAGTATAATAATGCAGGATAACAACAATTTGATGACGTTAATCCTACCTACTGTCCCCATTCTAATTCATTTGAATTTAGAATAGCACTTTATCTTGTTATTACCCACTAGCCTAAAGCCCTGTCCTGTACTCAGGACAATATGTCATATGTCATATTGGCTTCCAGCTTTGTTCCATTCACAAATGTGTCCTATCATGCATTGTTCTGTCTGCTTGTGCGTTTAGCCCCCAGCCCAAAGGAGGACCTCATAGCCACTGTTCTGGGAGGTAAGCCATTGCTGCACCGTAGTAGGACTGTGTATCTGCATTTTCTGCTTTGACTCTACTCTGTCATATTTATAGTTGTGTCACATTCTCCCAGATGTTCCAGTTATGTCCATAGAGGAGATCAAACTGCAGAAGAACTATTTAAAACTTATCAAGAAGCACAGCAGTGACCTCAAAGAACTCCGCAAGAAGCACATGAAGAAGGTTAGGAAATGGTGTTTTTTTTTTTAAATTTCATGTGTACTTTCAACAACCTCACTCCAGACTGGCTCTTTGTGGCCATACCAGCTTGTCAAAGCCTGATCCTGTCAGATCTCAGAAGCTAAGTAAGGCAAGGCCTGGTTAGTACTTGGATGGGAGACCACTGGGAAAATCAGGTGCCACAGTGGGGTGCCAGTTTCAAAAAGTCATGCTGTGTCCTTAGGCAAGGCACTTCACCCACATTGCCTAGTATTAAAGTGGTGTGTGTGTGAGTGATGGTGGTGATTGGAGGGACTGATGGCAGCCGTGCTTCAGTCAGTCTGCCCTGGGGCAGCAGTGGCTACAATAGTAGCTTACCATCACTAGTATGGAATGAATGAATAATGCTCTGTAAAGCATCTTTGTGACAAATGTCTGTGAAAAGTGTTATATAAAAAAACAAAAAACTTACTGTTTGGTTGCTATGATGCTCAAGGTTAGAATTCCTAATGTGAAGCCCAGATTTGCTCCTCTAACTAACTGCTAGCCTTGATGAGCTTTATTTAGCTGGAGCCGAACACTATGGATGAGGATGTTCTCTTAGTCCACTTCTTTATACAGTGTATGGTTATCACAGTGTATAAAGATTTGAGAGCTGAATACGTCTTGTTTGCAGGTGTTAAACTTAAACAAAGAGCAGAAGAGCCGGAGCTGTAAACTGCAGACAGACACTCAGAGGAGGCGCAGCCAGATGGAGAAGAACCTCAAACGCAGTATCAAGAAGAAGTAAGAGCCAGACTCGTGCACACATACTTCACACTTAATTCTTTCTTCTGGACTTAAGTTTTAAAGAGATGGATGGATAGATGGATACATAAAAGGATAGATAGACCCGGAAGCATAGATATATTTTATATTTACTTAATGTTTTAATTGCAAATATATAGATATGCATATTTGTACCTTATTTGACACTAAACTTTTGCTATGTATTGTGCACCTGTAACAGTAGAAGATATAGCTTGCTTGAAGTGTCACTGCTTTTAAAAAAAGTTTCTACAATCACAATTATACCTGATGTGAAAGCTCACAACCTCCGGATTTCACTCAGTGACCTGCAGAGGCTGCACTGGCTGATTAGTCATAGAATCTGATACCAAATGAGAAATTCATATGAGCCTCATTCTGCTTTGTCACTGGATAATGGAGTACCAAAATAACAAATTATTACATGAACTATTTAGCCTCAAGTCTAATGTTTTGTAGGATGAAATCAAATAAGTATTATTTATAAAAGCAATGTAACAAATAGCACCTCAAATAGAACCTCTTCAGGCGTGTTTCTGATGAGTGCACAATATAAGCAAAAAAAAAAAAAAAAAAATCTGTGTGGATTGATCAAGTTTGTCGAAGTTTAAAATCCAGACGCTAAAGCTAATGCTAAAGCTAATGCTAAAGCTAACCTGTGCTGAACTGTGTGTGTTGCAGTGAGCCTTATGACCCCATTCAACAGGAACTGTCAGCTCTGGACCATGAGATCGCCAAACAGACGCTGCAGCTCAAGGAGTGGCAGATGAACGAGCTGCTCCACCTGAGGAGAGAGCAACATACAGTGGAGAGGAAAAAGCAGGAGGGGCATCTGATGGAGGTTTTTTTTTATTGGCTCATTTTCAAATACAAACAAGAGCGCCTTTATATAAAAATATATAAAATTTGATATGATGTAACTGCATCATCCACACAGGCTCTTTCCCCATCCAATCCCAATCTTTTCCTACTCACTTTTGCTAAGTGCTCACTTGAAGGCTCCATCAGTTGTGTTTTTTTCTATAACACACAAACCCTCCATATTTAGATTGAGTTCTTCTCTCCACTAAAAACACTTACATGTGGTACATACACCTTAACTAGAATTATTTGGATAATTTCCTTCTAGAATTGCCAGTCTCTACTGAAGTCTATATGAAATCAGCCGCCCTCCCCTGTGAGCCATCTCAGATTTGGCTGAAAAAAATTCAAAAATTTCTAAACTTACCAAATGAAAGAATCTCACATTTTAGCTCAGTCCCTTGAGTCGTTCCTCACTTTTTTGGAAGCCTTAATTTATAAGCATGTTTTAGACACCATAACTTCATAAAAAATAGAGCTAGGAAGCTGTATTATTGTTGATTTTTGGTCATAGATCCCGAATCTGTTATGAAATTTTGTGTATCTTTATTAAGGGGGGGGCGCTGTGGGCTTCCAAAATCTCACATTTGGTTGATGCTCTTTTTTTTTTCTTTCAATTTTTGAGGTCCAAGATCTATTTACTCCAAGCAAATATTTACAAACTAACTGTTGAACCTGAATATTTGAGAGAATGACCATTTCTGACAACAATCTCACACTTTTCTGAGCTTTCATGTGGATGGTGTAGAGTCCCAAATATGGACACAGACCAGATGTGATCTTTTTGGCCCCTTCTTTGGACCCTGACAGCAATCAAATATTGACTGCACTCCAGGTGAGCTTCACAAAACATAAAGAATGTGAAGTTTTTCTTTACAAGCTCTAAAGACATTACAAACCATGAACTTACTTTCAAACTAGAAGAGCTACAGCAAGACAAAGACTGTGAATGGTGCTAGATCACACCACAGTTTCATTCTGGTATCAAATAGTAAATTAGAAATGAGGAGAATATCTCAAGATCATTTATGTCCTGAAAATGACATTGTGCAGATTTGTCTCTGTACCAGCAGGTCAATACAGAGCATGTATTTATGACATCATGTGGTTCATTGGGAATATTTCAGAGTGTTCAGGTGAACATGGTGATGTCTATGTGAGATTCATGAATAGAGACGACAGAACCCTCATCTGTCCTCCTGAACATCGGCAGAACCATGTTGGGTCCCATTTCAGCACAGAATCTGTTGTATTAAAGTATAAGAAGTTCAGAGCAGAAGAGCACAAAATTATTGCCTTGACCCTGCAAATTATAACAGGATCCAAACATTACTTCTGAAGTTCATTAGTAGTTAGAAACACTTAGTGTGCAAGATTCCAACACAGATGATCTACATGGAGGTGACAAAGGCACCAGAATGGGCAGATTTTTCCAGTATGTTGGTTTTCACACTGAATTTTTAAAATGTAATTTCTATCAATTGAACAAATAAAAGACCAGATTATTGTATTTTGGTAACTTTTGTGACAATAATTTTTTTCTTGTTAATGTTACTGCCTTCTTTGTGCAAAAATAATATACATATGGTGATACTGAAAGCCATGGTTATAGAATCAGAGACTTTGTGATTTAACAGGCAATGAGTTTTCCAGATGTAATTTGCAGTTTTGAATCATTCAATCAGAATTTACTTACACACCATGAAAAGCTGTTTCTGTGTGAGATAACAAATTATCTTTCTCAAATCAAAATAGAATAAATAATGCAAATAAGCCTTTTTTCATTATTTTGTACAGAGTTAATAGTTGAATTTTCTCAAAGGATCAATGACACTTTTCCAAACAATGTACCACAAATAATCTCCAGTTGTCTTCCCTTATAACAAGCAAATAGTGTTTAAGTCTATTAAAGGTAATTGAATCTTTCTGCAGGTGGAAAAGTCCCTAAGCTCCAAAGAAGGGGCCAAAAAGATCACATTTGGTCTGTGTCCATATTTGGGACTCTACACCATCCACATGAAAGCTCAGAAAAGTGTGAGATTGTTGTCAGAAATGGTCAGAAATGGTCATTATCTCAACTATTCAGGTTCAATAGTTAGTTTGTAAATATCTGCTTGGAGTAAATAGATCTTGGACCTCAAAAATAGAAAAAAAAAATTTGAGCGGCAACCAAATGTGAGTTTTAGGTTGCCCACAGCGCCCCTTAATAAAGATACCCAATATCTGACAACAGATTCAGAATCTATGACCAAAAATCTACAGTATTACAAATTTTCAGCTTCCTAGCTCCTAGTTCCTCTATTTTTTATGAAGTTATGGTCTCTCAAACATGCTTATAAATTAAGGCCTCAGAAATAGTGAACATGGCCCCAACATTTTAACGGGCCATAACTCAGGAACGACGCAAGGGATTGAGCTAAAATGTGAGATTCTTTCATTTGGTGATTTTAGAAATTTTTTCAGCCAAATCTGAGATGGCTCATAGGAGAGATTCCTTGAAAACGTCTGATTTCATGCGGATTGACCCATGCGGACTATACTTCATGATATCATAAGGTAGAACTGAACATTTGGAACTTTGGAAATGTAAACAGACTAATAATAAATGGTTCCTCAAACACAACTCAGAGTATGTTTTTGAGAAGGTAACAAGAGAGATATAACACATATAACATGTCTGTAAAACTGTCAAGAGTCAGTTGTGCATAATACAGCACCTTTCAATGTGGAGGCTCATTTGTGAGAACACACACAATGAGGATTAGTGCATGGGAAAAGGCAGGAGGAAGCAGTTTGGAAAATGCCACAGGCTTCCAACACGTTCCACTGACCCCTGTATCCTCCTGTGTGTGCTCCAGGCCTTTCAGAAGCTGAAGGAGACCGCCAAAGATTGCCAAGCCGCCCAGCTCAAGAAGCTCAAGGAGACATGTGAGAAGTGAGTCCCGCCTGCTGTCTCCAGCTTTGTTTTCTACTGTGTAATCCAGTGGTGGAAGAAGTACTCTGTGTTGTTAATTAAGTAAAAGTACAGATACCAGAGCAAAAGATATGTATATATTTACAGTATACTTATTGTAAGTAAGTGTAAGTACCACATGAAAAAATCTACTTTAGAAAAAGTATTTAAGTACCTGTTTTAAAATGTACTTAAAGAGTAGAAAGTAAAAAATATTTTCTGCTGACTTTGAGATCAAATTAAGCTTCAAATGTAGTGATTTTGATCAAGATTTATGCTGAATTTTGTTCAACAGGAACAAAAAAAATTCCAGTAGTAATTACAGTACTTTCTTACTGCTTTTACTTTGTTGCATTCCACCACTGGTAATTCTGTCAAAAAACTTCTCAGAGTGCATACGTTTGACCAATCATCCAAGAGGCTTTTTCAGTTCTGTGAAGGTTCTGTAAGACCCTGCCTTATATCTGTCTGATGGGAAGAACTAACTACTCTGAAACTAGCAAACTCTAGTTGTTTACAGTAACTGTTATTAGTTAAGTTCATGGAACTACTCACAGATCATACTTTTTTTGGTCATACAAACAATGTATGATCTATTTCCTTTTTACATTGTGGCCATGTGTCCTCAGGGAGAAGAAAGAACTGCAGAAGATGTTGGACAGGAAGCGTCAAAACAGCATCAGTGAAGCCAGGAGCAGAGACAAGGATAAGGCCGAAGCGTGAGTGTGTGAGGGGAGGGGTGAGGAATACAGGAGGAATACAGAATGGTACAGAGGGGTTATGGAGGGGGGTGAAGAGGGGGTGAGGGGTAAGGAGGGGGATGAGGGGGTGTATGAGGAGTGAGTGAGAAGGCACATGGGTGAAGAGCAATGTTTGGTTTTAAATTAATTGCCAAGTACTGTACTTTGTTCCTATAATATGTTAGGAAGTCATGTAATAGTTGTGAAATTGCATTAGTGTGAAATTCCTTGAGGCAGCAGCTGTAGCAGTGTGGTGGTGATGTCATCACAGTTGCCATTATGTAGCTTAAGAATTAAAAAAAGAGGAGCTGTGCCTTATGCATTTTAACGCACCACTCTGCTGTGCATGTGCCCAATTTGGGGGAGCTAGCCAAGCTACCCCCTGCAGGAAGTACCTCCCCCAGGTAAGTATCAGCTCCTGTACAGGTAACTTTCCTAAGTCCAAAGTGAGGATTTCATTTTACATGCGCCCAAGTCCCCTTTTAAATTCAAGGTGTTTAACAAACTGAACAGTGTTGAAAATAACTATAAAAATCAAATACACAAAAATAATGAAACAGAAAATAAACCAGTTCTCCCTTCCATATGGTCCTTGAGGCACACCCCCCTCATGTGGATCTGCAGGTAAGTATGGTCAATATGGAAACTGAAATGAAATAACAAATAAAGGATATTTAAATGAACAATGTGTTATGTGGTGTTAAACAAAACTAAGAATTATATGTAATTGTTAGGTAGGATATGATATCAAATTAACAAATGTGTGAAATTAAATTAATGAGTTTAAAATGGGACAAAAGCCCACTTTGTCACACCCAAAAATAATTATTTGAGCAGTCCCTTTATAATACAATAATAAGTAAGTAGTACAGCAGCATGGTGGCTGAGGAGGAAGAGGTGGTGGAGGAGGAAGTGAGGAGGGAGGTGAGGAGGAAGTGAGGAGGGAGGTGAGGAGGAAATGAGGAAGTGAGGAGGAAATGAGGAGGAAGGTGAGGAGGAAGGTGAGGAGGAAGGTGAGGAGGAAGGTGAGGAGGGAGGTGAGGAGGAAAGTGAGGAGGAAAGTGAGGAGGAGGTGAGGAGGAAGGTGAGGAGGAAGGTGAGGAGGAAGATGAGGAGGGAGGTGAGGAGGGAGGTGAGGAGGGAGGTGAGGAGGGAGGTGAGGAGGAAGGTGAGGAGGAAGGTGAGGAGGGAGGTGAGGAGGAGGTGAAGAGGAGGTGAGGACCATAAAGAATGGCAGGCTGCTTCACTCTTCTGTGTCTGCTTCACAGTGAACTCAATGAGATCAACAAGAAGCACATCCATGACTCAGTGTCTCTGATCCGAAGGGTAAGTCCTACTGTCCCCGTCCCCCTGCCCTGCTGCCCTGTTCCCTTGTTCCTCTGTCCTCCTGCTCTCCAGTCTCCCAGTCCTTACTTTTACTGTCCCCCACCTGTCCTCCTGCCCTGTCCTCGGAGTGCTCAGGTCTAATGTATATGCTGTCCTCCTGTCTTCTTCCTCGTGTCTTTCTGTCCCCCTGTCCCCCTGTCCCCCTGTCCCCCTGTCCCCCTGTCCTCCTGTCCTCCTGTCCTCCTGTCCCCAGGGTGGACATGTCTAATGTCTGTGCTGTCCATAGTTAGAGGAGGCGCAGGCCCGGAGACAGGACAAGCTACTGCTCAGACAGAGGGAGGTCCTACAGCACATCGAGGAGCAGTTCCCCCTGGTGAGAGCACTCTGCCACTACAGCTTTCACAAAGCATTCACTATTAGAGATGCGCGGATTGCGGTTACAACCGCGGTATCCGCGGTTAATCCGCGGGTCGGGCGGATGACGTGACGAAAAATTATATTTTAATTAAATTCGGGCGGGTGGCGGTTTAACTACTAAAAAAAAAAAAGTTATTGTTACTATTGTTACCTACATCTGAAAAGACGAGTGTCATTGTCTATGCTTGTAGTATGAAGTGTACGTCATATCCTTAACTAGCCCATTTGACCTCGTTTTTATGTTCTGAAGGTTAAGGTTGTGTCGGGTTATTGATGCCTAAGGTTTACGAGGCACATATTATATGCAGTTTATTTTATTATTTCTAATTTATTTCAGCTGTTTGCCAACACGTAAGTGGCTATAGGGCCATATGTATTTTTTTTTTTTCGATATCAGATATATTTTAAAACACGCAGACATTATAGCGTCGACTGCCACTCGGGGTATTTAAAACTTAAAGAAAGACCGATGGAGTGAGGCTATGACTTTGAAACAACATCGGGCAATGGCAGAATGTTCAGAATGTAACAACATCCAACACGAAGGCAAGAAGGTTCAAAAACAGCCTAGTCGGAAAACGTTGTCAGTTAATTAGCTGCGCAAGAAAACCAGGTAAGTTTGGGGTTGTTACGGACAATTAACTGTGTCGGCCGCAAGGTGGGGCATTTGAGAGCCGTGCCCCCCCTAGTGGCCACTGGTGCCCCACCCCCCAACAGGCCGTTATTATTACTATTTTAAAATGATTTTGATTGGCGCATTTCACTTTGGGCTGAGGGCACAAACTTTACTGTGACATCAATGACATCACAGTCTCTGTTTATTTAGTGTAGTGTGATTGGACAACTGTTCTGTCACTCACGTCACGTCAACCTGCTGCGTCAACTCGTAGCAGCTCCACGATTAGCGGCAGCTGCTACTTTAGCCTAAAGCTCCACACAGGAAATGGCGAGAACAGAGTCAAAGACACTGACAGACCCTCCGCTGGGACCCGGGACTGTCGATGCCCGGACTCGGGGCAGTCGCCGCTGGGACTCTCGCTGCCGCCGCCGGGGCCAGGGCAGTCGCTCGCTGCTCTATCCGCCTTTGCCCGTTCGTTTCTGGGTGTAAAAGTTTGACCTGAGCATAGCGCGCAGAGGCATAATTCTACCTGGTGTCCTGGTGCTGATATGGACTGACTGTAACTTTCAGATTGAAGTGGGAAGTGGGATTAAGACTAATTTTACAACCATCTTGTGCACTCGGCTCCCGGACCTCGCGTCACGGACCAGACTGGACCAGGATTTGGACCAGTTTCATCTCTTCATATTGGACAATAGACTTTTGGAAACAGAACCAGTGGGACAGTGGATAGAGGAAACATTCTGCTTCAGTCTCTGGAGAAGGTAAGAGGCTGGTTTTCATTAGTTTGCGGCAAATCTGAACTTGGAGCCTCACAGGTAAATTGTGTTATAGTGTTAATAGTTAATAGTTCGTAAATGAGCTGGTGGGTGAGATGGAGCTGCTCTGATTGTTCTGTCGTGTGCTGTAGGAGCGGCATCTGTGTTCATGTCTCTTATTGTAGTTTTACTGACGTTGTTGGGTCTGGGTGTGAGCGGCGTGTTACGTTGTGTTGTTGCGTTGTGTTGTTGCGTAAAGTTTGTGCTTGGCTGTTCATTGTGCTCTGATCGATACTGTTCAGCCAATACTAACCAAAATGTCTGTTTCTGGTATTTGTTATAATACTACAGCCTATATATATAATACATATATTATTCATAATATATATTTATAATTTTGCCCTTGGTGCCCCTCCCAAAAATTATACCATCAGCCGCCACTGGTCCTGGTTTAGTCCTGGTTTAGTCCTGGTTTAGTCCTGGTTTAGTCCTGGTTTAGTCCCGGTCTAGTCCCGGTCCCTCAAGTCTCAGGTCTCTATAGGACAGGACTGGACTGGACGGCGACTCGCGTACCACGTTCACTACAGCCCTGGTGCTGTCCGATGCGTGCCTATTTCTAGTTCAGAGGTGTTTTTGACGAGAGGCTGTTGTTTAATGTTTACAACCAGTGGCAGGACTTATTGTTTTTTAATAAACCTCAACCTTTTATTATTGTCTTGTGTGCGTATCGTTTACCACACAGCCTCAACAACTATTGCAGGTAATAATAATAATAATCTTAATATAATAATGATTATAATAACAACACATAATTAGCCTAATACTGTTAAAGAAAAACGTGTTTGATAGCATGTCTGCTGTGTATGACTCCACCGCGTTAAAATATTTCTCAAATGGTAGTGCGCCCCCTGCTGGTGACCCATGCCCCTCCAGTAGATGTGCTCTGACGCCGACTCTGACAATTAAGAATGCGAACATACACGCTGAGCGAATTTTGGAATGAATGAGCTATAGTTTGCATTTTTATCGAGGCTCCTTAGTTTGTTTGCTGTATGATTGTTCTAAAATCTAAAATCAATCGGCGGATGGCGGCGGGTGCGGTTTTGAAAACCTTCGGTGCAAAATGGACAGCGGGCGGATGATGAGTTTTGTGTCGCGGTTGCGGATGAAAAAATAGCCCATCCGCGCATCTCTATTCACTACATCTATGGCGTAAAGTGTGTATGACATTTTTGGATGATTATCTAATTTGGACATAATTTGTTGGTATCAAACCTGATAGTTTTCCACCAATCAAGAAGATTTGTGAAGAATAGTCAGAGAATAGAAATACATGCTGAAAATGACAGGAAACAGAATTCTTGTAAAATCATAAAGATAATGTTCTTAAGTGAATTTTAGTAAAATTAGTCTAATCTGTCATAGGCACTTCAAAACCCACCACACCAGTAATCTTGCAGTACATGATTTTTTTCCTGCAATATGAAAAGATTTGAGCTGTAGAAGGTTGAATTAATAATTTCTCTGACTCATTATAGACACAAAATTAGTAATTGAATTCTCCTATTTATTTATTCTGCTATTTATTTATTTTTTGCAGCTCAAGGTCATTTTTTGGGCATAAATCTGCATTTGAGTATTATTGTTTATATTTACTTCAGCAATATGTGACACTTTAAAATGTGTTATCTTGGCAGACCTAGTGTGGTGGGACTGTACCTGTGCTAAATATTGATCATATTTTTACACCAAGTGGCAGTTTGTGAAGAAAATTTGAAATGAAAAGAACAAAATAGTATGGAATCACCTCTAATCTTAAATATAACTCTGGTGACAAATTAAAATTTTAAAGCAGATAAAGCAGATATTGTTGTGTCTGCTCTATAGATTTTTTGTACCTAAAAAAGTGCATCAGTGATTAATAAAATCAAATTGGAAGCAAAGTAAGTACAGAGCAGTGAGCGTAAACTGGTGGTGGTGAAAACGGGTTGACTGGCAATATGAAGCCTTGAAAAGAAGTGATGAAGGATTACTCAAACATGTACAAATCACTCCAAATACAACTTTGAGTGGGTAAATAATATGGGAAGGGGAAAGTACTATAACATGTACTATGTCCAACCTGTCATATGGACATATGCTTTCTTTCTCCTTTAAAGTGTAACTATTTTTGCACTCTTTAATGCGTCCTCAGCTCCTGAGCCAGCTGCAGAGGGACCTGGATGAGGAGTACCAGGGCCTGTCAGAGGAGATCTGTCGCTACCTGCAGTCCGAGCTCAACCACAAGAGCAAGGAGGGCCTGCTGAGTGGCCTGTCCCACCACAGCAGCCCCGAGGCGGGCTCCAGACCCTCCTCCGGACCCCCATCCAACAGCTCCACCCCCTCCTCCACACCCCGGAGATCCTGGAGCCGCAGCACAGACAACTGCTCCAACTGTTCCACCCCAGTGCTGTCTGAGGCTGAGCTGTCCCTGAGCTGAACACAGCAGGAGCACAGCAGGAGCACAGCCAACGATTGTGCTGGATTGTGCACTCTTACTGTTCAGCTTATCTGTCATGTTTTTTTGTTTGTTTTTTTAGACATAAAGCTTTTAAGAGATTCAAAAAAAATTTCTCATTTAATAATATTTATATAATTTAATCAGTAAGTTTTTATGTTTTTATCACTTTTTGAGGGGGATGTTTGGTACTTCAGATGCTTTTAATTATTTTCTTCTACCTTGATATATATATATATATATATATATATATATATATATATATATATATAAAAAATCATACATACACACTACCATTCAAATGTTTGGATACAACTAAAAGGGTAAAGGCTTTATTGTTATTTTATAATTATTTCTTTTAATCTTAAACAGGTTTGGAGTTTGTTTAGTTTATTTTGTTTTTTGTTTGCTACATTCCATATGTGTCCATTCATAGTTTTGATGTCTTCAGTAAGAATCTTTAATGTAAATAATCATGGAAATAAAGAAGAAAACTAAATGAAGACGTGTGTCCAAACTTTGACTGGTAGTGTGTGTTACATAGTGCACAGCCTGTGGACTTGCCTGTAAGTAAACTACTGACATTGAGTTTAGCAGTTGGTAATTGTCTAACCACTGGCTGCTACACATACTAATTATATTAAGAAACTGCACTACAGTGTGTTACTAGCAGGCTAGTACAGCCTAGCATTTACCATGTGGCATAAATGTAAGTACGTAGGTTTTTGATGAGAAAACATCTTTGCGTTGATCAGAACATAACACACTATGGGCCATTTAAAACTGATCTGATCCCCAAATTCACAGATGTATGAATTCAATTATATAATATGTTAAGGTTCTAAATCTTTTCTGGCCTAAAGTTTTTGAAAGTTCTGTTGGCAGGTTTTGACTGCATCACTTCAGGCATGTGTTTTGGGGTTCAAGGAGCTCTTCAAGCACTTGAAGGATGGGATGAAAAGTAGTGACTAAAGTAAAAGAGGTGCTCTTTTACTCTCCAAGGCACTCGTATTCATTTCAAATGCCTTTATTAGTCGTGGCATGTGTTCTTTTTTCTTTTTTTAGAATGCGGTTCCTTTTTCATTAGTTTTTTACTGATTCGAACACAACCCCTTGTGTCATATCAACTGCATTTTTAGTCCCTACCCCAAAATGATGACTCAAACCCAGACTCCCCAGACATGACCTGACCTGCATTTTGAAACCTCCAACTAAAACCTTGGTTCTGCACACAGGTCTTTGTGTACAAGGGTTTAGAATGCTCTCATAGACAGTTCCACAAGTTAATACTGATCCACTGAAATGGCAAAATGTGCCATATGTCTTGGTGTTTTACAATATTTTAGTCTGCAAAATTCATTTTAAGCTTAACTGTATACATTTTACTGTACTGTTCCACACATGTCTCAGTGCACTCGGACCTGGTCCTGTGTTCCTCTGTGATTCCTCACAGCCACAGATAAGAGGAGCTCCAGAAAGCTCTTAAGAGAGGGACAGAGGCCAGGGGACAGAGCTGAGTGTTTGCTTCCGCATCAGATGTAAGATGTGGCATAAGTGCATAAATGGAATTTGTGCATGAGAAGGACTTGAATTAAATAAAATTAGAAGAATCTCTTGATTGGAAGAATATTGATATTTATAGATGCACCAATACCACCAATGTATATATGAGACCCAATACCCATACCAGTATTTGGTATTTTCTCCACACAGGAAAATATAGAGAATATATAAGAGTTTTTCTTTAACAATATACAATTTTAATATATTAACTCATTCATTATTTAATTCATGACACGACATGACATATTACATTACAATGCTTTTTTAGTTTCAAGCTAAATTTTCAATAACATTTTGAATATTTGGGTTCACTTTTGAATCCCTCATGCACATTTTTTTTCTTCTATTGATGTAGTCATATCTACACAAAAAATTTAATTTTCCCTCATTTGGAAGTTTTTTGTGATTTGTCAGAATATGCAGTGGTTTCCAAGAATACATTTCAAAATGTGTCTATAATGGCTTCAGTAACCATGGCATTGTGCTCTGACTGTCCATTGTATATGTGTGTATGCGAGTCGTCATACTACTGCTGGAGACATGACCCCAAAAACCTAAAGTCAAACATATGTAAACATACATAAGTAATGATACAATTTTGGTATGTACAGTATTTAACCAAAAATGGCAAAAATTTCTGTCACTTTTGTTGTCACTTTGAACACTAAAGTACACTCAGAAATTAAATTACTACTTAAAATTTTAATCTTAGTTTAAGTAAATCATAGAAGTCATGATGCACCAATATCAAGAGTGTAGTTTGGACTCCAAGCCAACCTAATCGCCAATGGGGTATGAACTCTTTACATACTGTCAGATTATCTTAAAATAAAACCAATACTAGGAAATGTTATATTTTTTGTGTAGATTCTTTATCTTCTTATAAATTCTCTTTCATTTCAAGTAGAAGATTAGGATTTTGGCTGATTTTAAGTGGAATATGAAATATCCCCATAGACTGTATATATAAATTGATGTATTCAGTTGTATTCAAAATCATTTTACCCAGACTGATTTTTCTGTGTTGGATTCTATGTAGGGATAACTGGTACATTCCTTCAGACTCTATCCCCGACCCAGCTACTCCCTTTCAAGGCTCACATATGGTACTCCTATCACATGTTTAATCAAATGCACTTTTGTTTTGGAAATGTCAAGTGACCTGTTCTTATTATGTAATATTATGTAATGTGTACCCATGTTGAATACTTGTTTTGGACTCAAGGACAAGGTTTCTTTGCACTTTTCAGTTCTGCCTCTGCTATACAATGTAATTCTTATTTTTTATTTTTTAATTTTAGAACATAACTTTCCAAAACCACTAAGATCTTGATATGATCCGATGATGACCGGCATGGCATCAGTACTTTGTTTGTACTCTTTACTTACATTTAGACTCATAACTGTAGATAATATTGCATGTGTAGATACATGTCCTTTGATCTTGTGTGTAGTTGTAAGGATTAATTTGTACCAGGGCAGTTTACAGGGCGGAGAGTCTTGCATGAAAAACCACTCAAAATGGAGCGTTGCCACTTCTTGACAGTAAACTCTATTGGGCTATTTAACAAAAACGGTATCTGTGATCAAGGCTGCATGTCAAGTGTCAACACTGTATGAATGTATAATTAAAAGGGAATAATATTCATGGTTCTTTGTGATAAATATATTGTATATGATGTAATGTTGGATAATAAACCGACAAAGTGAAATGACTAATTGCCTTGCTTTATTACATAGACAGAGGTTACAGTTACAGAGCTGGGTAGAGTGGCCAAAAATTATACTCAAATAAGAGTAATGTTACGTATTACTCAAGTAGAAGGAATGGTCTAAGAAATTACTCAAGTTGGAGTAAAAAGTGTTAAGTAAAAGTACTACTCAAGTAACTGTGGGGACATAACATCTGCCTTATAATATAAAGTTGTGATTTATTTCTAATTACAAAGACAAAATATTAAATAAGTGTGGTTTACAGAGGAGGCGGGATTTACAGTGAATCACATACAGAGGAGGCGGGGTTCACATACAGAGGAGGCGGGGTTTACAGTGAATCACATACAGAGGAGGCGGGGTTTACAGTGAATCACATACAGAGGAGGCGGCGTTAACAGTGAATCACATACAGAGGAGGCGGGGTTTACAGTGAATCACATATCGAGGAGGTGGGGTTAACTGAATCACATACAGAGGAGGCGGAGTTAACTGAATCACATACAGAAGAGGTGGGGTTTACAGTTAATCACATACAGAGGAGGCGGGGTTTACAGTGAATCACATACAGAGGAGGCGGGGTTTACAGTGAATCACATACAGAGGAGGCGGGGTTTACAGTTAATCACATACGGAGGAGGCGGAGTTAACTGAATCGCTTACAGAGGAGGCGGGGTTAACAGTGGCAATAGCAATAGTGTTATTGTAGGCTTAAAGGCCAATCTACGATCCAGCGTCAAATCGTCTGCTCTGTTTACATTTTCTGTCGGCTTTTCTTTCTTTCAGTATATATTGAGAAATAATGTGTTTAATGCAGCTTTGCGCATATGTGTTTACGTTTTACAGAAACGAAACTTAAAACCGCTAACTTGCATAACCGGCTAACTTACATAAACAAAGTGCTCATAAAACAGCTCGCTCCTGGTACGAGGTCAGCTTCTGTTGGACTTAAAAAGGACACGACTCAGTGTTCTTTCTGTGACAGAGGGATATTGTACTAATAATGAGTCTGTTCTGTGCTTTTATCGCGTTAGAGATGGTTCATGTTAAACTTTTCAGAGATTATACGTCTGCGGGTCATACACACAGACCGTATATATGAATTTACAGATATCGTCGCGACGGCGACAAAGCGATGGCGGCAGTGCGCGTTGAGTCGATGCAGAACTATACTTCAGCCTTTAGTCTTAACCTTAGTGCTCCACATAACGTCCTGTCTGTCTAATACTGAAAGTTTAGAAACAAAAAACGTTTTCAGAGTGTGGATCTACTCATGTTTGAAAGCACTGCTAATGCCTGCACATGTTTTTCTTCACTGAAATGTGAGTTTAATTTGAGAGTGATTAATGTTTTTTTTTTGTTTTGTTTTTTTTTGTTTTTATGCCCGTTGTGGGTTTGCTGTTCTCATGAGTGACATGTTTTCTTATTTCCAGGTTTTGTTTATGAGAATGTGATAATCTGTTTGATTTTCAGGATGTGTGGTTGTAATTTCTGTGCATGTTTGTTCTGACTAACACACTACTGACACTAACCCTGCACAAACACTGGGCGGTGGGTTTAATCCAGCCATAAAGGGGCAGTATGTCCCCTTTGTGCCAGTCCCCAGCCTGGACAAATGGAGAGGGTTGCTTCGGCATAAAACCTGCCTTGGCTTTTTGTCTAACTTTCATTTGTTTTCTCAGGAAAATTATGAACAATGCATCTATTTGTGTGACTTGGCAAACTTGCTCCTTCCTCAGGTTACACTTATCAATAATAAAACAAACAGAAGTGGAAAAAGGTTCACAGGGCATAAGGCTACGGGTACTTCCCAATGACCAAACTCCTTGCCTAATGAACTACTTCAGATCCATGTCATCAGAGGTTTGCCACATGCTGTTGCCCCAAAAGTCCTTATGTCCTCCACGCACAACTCCTCCTTTTGGCTCTTTCACCAAGGATGTGCGGGTGGATCCATGGCCGCCTTGGAGCACTGCATTTTTTCTTCATTTCACCTTATTCATCTTCATGTTCTGTTAACTTTATTCAAATAGTTAAACAGTTTTTATTTTAATAAAATAAAACTTGTTCTACAATAAAGAAAATATTTTGCTATTTTAGCCACATTGCTGCAGATAACACTACGATTAGATCGAATGAGTTCAAATCAGGACAAATGTAGTAAAAACTCTTGAGGAAGAGCATTGGGAATACAATAGTGTATTTATTTCTGTAGGCTAATTATCAGCCTAAAAAACTTGATAAGAGGATTCACTCAACCTTTATTACCCACATTTTTAATGCATGTGAACACATAAAAACACCTGAACACTTTATATTTGTAGAAGCACTGATGTCTTTTTATTGCGTTTGATCTGGTCACATGACGCGGAGTCACTCCCTCAGGAGCCTGGTCCAGGTGAGCTCATGGGGTGCGCTCCGGGAGCTGTGAGGACACTTGGCTCTGCTTCAGAGGAACTGAAACTGAAAGTGGTCTTTGGAGGAAGAATCCAATATAATCAGTGAT